AAATACAGGTAAAACTGTAAAGTAGATAAAATGCTACACAGAGTCAGCACCTAGAATGTATAACTCAAGACTATCCTGTATCATTTGATAAGTGGACACTGAATATTTATCTATTAAGTCTTGGTACTTTCCAATGAACTTTTTGAGAAATAGGACGAGACGTTTTTTTTTTTCAGAAAATAAAATTGAGAATGGAAACCCTGCAGGATCATTAATCTTTTGCTCAGGCTCTAGTCACGTTTTACAAACTATGAGTAGCAGCTGCAAGTTCCTTAAAATTGTATGAATTTAGAAATATACTCCCCATACGCGGATGAAGCAGGTTAATCGCTGCTAAGTTGAGGAAAATTTATAATTTCAAAATTGAAATTATCTCGTTGGTCATAGACTTTGGTATTGAGATGGCATCTGTAATCAAATTCGGGGTTTATGTCTAAATATGAGGCAGATGAAGCTGTATAAGTGGTGTCTGCAATCTCTAGTTCATGACTACTAATGGACCCAATCAGAAAAGTTTGTATTGTTAATGGAAAGAACATCTTCAATACACCTGTATGTAAAATTAAATGATATAGCTTATTTGATCTAACCCTAACGAAAACAAAAACGTACACATTAAGATATTTCCAGGGGAAGACCACCAGACCCCCTCTCGCTTCACTCATTCGTGGATGCATTTAGCATTATATATACAAATATATTTACTTTTCGACAATTTACTCTCTTGGAGGTTTTATTATCTTAGATGCCTAGTTACATGTAGCATTGGCTCTTAAATGAAAACAGGTCTAGATATGGGTATATATATATATATATATATATATATATATATATATAAAATGACTGAATAATAGCCAACGATAAATCTTACGGGGCGATGGATCATATAAATATGATACAGTACACTACAAAATATAATATATAACCAGTCTAAAAGGGTACAACATCACCAAAAAATGACAATAAACGAACAAATGTAACTATAAATATTTCGGATAACAGATATCCTTCATCAGTATGAGCACGATGTAAAATGAATCAGATCAATCTATTCTGATTATTAAACTATAGGAATCTTGAATTCTATACAATAAAAAAAGTGAAACAGTTTCACCCGAACATCATGTAGAGACGCTAATAATTTTTTAAAATTTCCAAAAAACGACTCAAATTCATGCCTAAAATGAAAATAGTAATTAGAGATATGAACTGGCACAACTCTAAAATTCCAAAATTACATCGTGCTCATACTGATGAAGGATATCTGTTATCCGAAATATTTATAGTTCATCCTATTTTGACTCCTCAAAATTGAAGAGTCTTTCCTAAATTGAGGTAAATTATATGGCCTTCCAAATACCGTTTCGATTCCTAACATCACTGAAGAGACATTAATTGTCGAAATCCGGATATGGTGTACAAAAATCTTTGCACCTTTTGTTTGCGGTATACCATCTTTGCCGCAAGTTTATTGTTTTCTGTTTGGTATTAATTTATAAATAAGATCCATTTATTACACCTGGTGATCCGTTTATTTGGCAATCGCCAATGGCAGTCGGCAGGGTTTAAGAACATTTGTTGTTCGACCTGTTAGTCAAATGCGTTTTGTTAAAATATACTTTTTCACTTTTTTGGTCTTTTGGAAAATGTTGTTTGTGCTGTATTTAGACCCCTCTAACAAGAAATTTGTTTTGCATGCACACGTATAAAAATTGCGGTTTTTATCCAACGCAATCATAGGTTTGAACGTTGTTTTCAATTTAGACTTGTATATATATATATATATATATCCAAAAGGACATGGAGTGATGCCCAGCGACAGGTTCGGGAAAGCTTTTGGATAAAGGAACTAAATGTACATCATCCAAACGGCATCAATAAAAAATACTAAGTTTTATTTTTCACTCATTTTGGGTTGTAAATATACACAGTCACGTATATTTGAGTATTGAGTTTTGTTTTATATTATGATGTTCAGGATTTTGGATTAAATCAATAGACCAAAACTTACCTGTATTATTGAGCTATTTTTATACATATTATCAGTATTGTTAAAATAATTGACACCGAAGAAGGCTATTTGTTAAGCAGAAATATTTGTCAACACGATTTATTAACAACATCTTCGTATAATACCATCTTATATTAGTATCGTTGTGCAAATCTCTAGACTTATATAATTTTTTTCCTTATCTGCACAGTATCGTCTATTCTAGACGATCCGGTACATAGTAAATTTGCTGGTTGGTCCTTTTTATAGACTTCTATATATATATATATATATATATATAACCATGGAAGTAATATTATTTCCATGATATAACCAAACAAAATGAATGCATTTATTTACTTCTTAGTAAGTAACTACACACTTCAACCAATTACATGTCAAGTATATCAATTGGTAAAAGAAATATTGTTTTCTGATCATTAAGTCTGGTAACGCATTGTCTTTCACGATCAAAATAATGCGTTGAATGATCTTTCACGATCAAGTTTGATTTAAAATCAACAAAATTATACTTTTTTCAAAAACAATGTGAAATTTTTCAAGTAATAATACACTTTTACTTTACTGGACTATTTGACACAATAAAGATTGAGTTTCAAATATAATATGATATATTGGAATGTGATCAATATAGATACAAAACGTGATTTTTTCTTAATGATTTTGAAAGGATTGTGAGTCGCCTTTTGTGTTTTCTTAAAAAGTACTGATTTTTTTCTTTAACTAAGTACTATTCAGGAAGTTGAATCATTTTGACAGACATAATTTTTTTTTCTCATTTGTTCCACCTTCTGAAAATACAACAGTTTTTTCACAGATTTTGAAGTATAATTACACTTAATTGCATTCACGATCCGATACCAGATCTTTCACGATCTGATTGCAATGCTTGACCACCGTTAGTTATTCTTTCACGATAATTTTTCTCGATATACCGAATGACACCCCTGGTATAGTCAGTAGTACGGTCACAAGTAAGGTAAATTAAAAAAATAATGGACCGAAATACCTCAGGGCTAATTTTGGTCTTATTTTGAAGATAAATATAATACCCTTTGATTAAAGTATGTCGTAGAGTGGTCCAATTTTTTGAAAACTGTGGTCAAAGGTCAAAAGGGGGGGGGGGGGGGCTAAAATTGGAAAATTTTGGGACATTTTGTACAATTTCTCGGTCGTCCCTCATGATAACTGAGAAAAAACATTCTATGGAATCATGCTCTGGGAATGTTGCACAAATTAAGCTTGTCATATTTATGCCTGATTGCCACAGATTAGTGATGTATACCCCCGCTTCTAACATGTAAGAAAATGAAGTAAAATATCTTTATCTACAGAAATTATCGACAAAAAATATTTATATGTTATATTTAGCTATGCAATACTATATGACAATATATAAATATGTTTTTGGGAAAGTTTTGTTAACATGCCATACACAACAAAGGAGAAATTAGTACCGTAAAGTTAACACCCGGTCCATGATTCAATGAAAAAATGAAGAAATTCATTATTGATTATTTAAACCCAAAAGAATGTTAGAACTATAATAGTCTTGATGCATGAATTTCAGCATGAACACGATAGTATATGAAGTTTTTTTTTAAAGTAAAAAGGTCAATCAGTACAAGAGCAATAGCACATTCAACACTTGTACCCCTCTTTTTATAAAACAACACAAACAATGGAATATATAGCAGACTTGACTAAACCCAATTTTAAAGCCCGTTAATATGTGAATTACAAACAAACACGATTTACAGACACATTACGCTTCATTTTGCGTCTTTGGAAGCTGACTAGGTATATATTAAACTAACACTAGACATCAATATGCACGTCCATTTGAAAAAGTAACGGAATACTAAGAAAAAAATATGCGTATGTAATGGTATGTAATACTTCCGAAATATTCGATACAAAAGTATTTCCAGTTGGGTTGAACGCGCACCAACCGCATCAAGGTCCGATACAACTGGCAGGTTTGTTTGTTTGGTTTTGGTTTTGAGTTTTTTTTAGAGAGAGAGAGCTCCCGAACCACATCAAGTCTGATGCGACAAGCAGCAGAATCATGAGATATTGGGTATTGAGATTAATAATCACCACTGCTCTGACAACAACAATGCTAGTACACGGAAAATTCTGTTTGTAGCATACGCAAGATTTTCTACAAATAGTTTTGCCTTTACATGTACACACAAGGTCCTGTAAAACGTCAGAGGACATTGGATTAAAAATATACTGAAACTATGGAGTTATTCCCCATATCCATATTTCAAAGGTGGTCTAGGGGGTGTTTGGTGAAATAAACATTCATCCAGACGTACACTTAGAGTAAAACTCGAAGAATATGCTGTCTGAATGATGCCTCTGAAGGAGGTAGTCTCACTAAGGAAGCATCCTCAGAAAGCGCCGACTTCACTCTTGAGTTTATTGCGATCACCATGTACTGATTGAGATCTGCGATGAATTGACTTTTCACCGCAACAGATGTGTCAATATTAGAACCAGCTAGATTGACAAACTTTGATACATGTTTGTGTTTTGTTTCGACGCCTTATTACTGCCTTTTTTGTCAATTCCGATTAAAGAAGACGTGTTGAACATGTAAGAGCGTGAGTAGCTGAGTCAGACATCGTTGGTCCAATGACTTTGCATATATATCTAATAGTATAGCCACGGAGCGTGTTTTAACGCAAGTTGATTCATCATCACACGCTGTTTGGTCATTGGTTTTTCCCTAATTCAAATGTATCAAAAGTTATTCTTCTTGTACATGTATAGGCTTTATAACACGACCTATGCTACTTTACATGTACTTGTTCTTATTTAAAGGAATCAGCACTGCCAATCATTTTCCGGATTAATTCGGATGTGTTCCAGTGTTGTTTAAAATTAGTCTATACGAAAAACTCAACAAGAATAAAAACACCTCAACAGCTATTAAACTTTAACATATGTACTAAGTTAAACATCTAGACACAAACATTGATTCAAATCTATATTTTTATTTACAAAAAATAAGAAAATGCACATTTAATTCATTACAAAAAACACAGCAATTTAAAAGTCAGGGGAAAATAGGAAAAGGGAGCGCGATATGACTTATTGAGGTGAATATTGAATAGTAAAACTGCTATATGATGAGTATTGTCACAAGAGGCTCATGAGAGCCTGATATCGCTCACCTGTAATTTCAGTTTCAGGCATTTGACTAATTTGTAGATCTTACTTTCCTGAACAATTTTGTCATTTACACTTTCTCTCTTTCTATAATAATATTAAAGATAAAACATAACCCAAAACTGTAAAATTTCCTAAAAATTAACTATTTCTGGACAGTTACCAAACAATAAGTTGTCCTATTGGTCTGAAGATTACTTGAAAGGTAGATCTAAACCTTAACACTTTCGCCTATGTCAGTTTTGCTCTTACTGCTTTAGTTTTTGAGATGAAAGCCAAAATCTTTATTTGACCCCTATGTTCTATTTTTAGAAACTGCCGCCATCTTTTTGAATGGATCAAATCCCCGAATACTATCTAAAACTAGATACCCTAAGGAACATTCCATTAAAATTTTTAAGTATTTGACCAAGTAGTTTCAGAGAAGATTTTTGAAAAAGTAATTAGACTTTCACAAAAAATGTAAAAAAAAACGTTTTAAAGGCAATAACTCCTTAAGGGGTGAATTGACTATTTTGATAATGTTGACTTATTTGGAGATCTTACTTAGCTGAACATTTATTGCCATTTATACTTTCTCTCTATCTATTATAATATTAAATAAAATAACCAAAAACAGTAAAATTTAATAAAAATAAACCATTTCCAACAGTAACCCAACAATGGGCTGTCGAACTTGTCTGAAAATTTCATAGTAGATAGATCATGACCCAATTATCACTTTAACTCCTGTCACTTTTGCTCTAACTGCTGTAGTTTTTGATATATAAGCCAAAAACTGTATTTGTCCCCTATTTTCTATTTTTAGCCATGGCGGCCATGTTTGTTGATGGATCAAAACTTCGGATACAATTTATGAACTAGATACCCTAAGGAACATTCAGTTAAAGTTTGAAGGTATTTGGCCTTGTTGTTTCAGAGGAGAAGATTCTTGAAATAGTTTATGACGACGACAGACGACGGACTACGACGGACGCCAAGTGATGGCATAAGCTCACATGGGGCTATTCGGGCCTGGTGAGCTAAAAAGGTTTGCAATAGTTGATGTGTATGTTCTGTCAAACTTTGATATATTAAAACTTCTGAAGTATTGCTTGTTCCACATTTTTTGGTCAAAATCAACTACGGGAAATGTATGTAAGAAATTTAATATACTTTGACAGACGGTAAGATTGAAAAAAATGTCACATGCAATTGAAATCCTTCAAATTCACTCCATATGTATTTTCATATGATATTCAAGTTTGATACTAAATAAAAGCTGATACATTACTCTTTCGTTTTATAACAAATATTTGCTGATATCTTCATTCAGGAATTGATTATAAGCATTCCCGTGTTTGATAATGAAAAAGAAAAAAATCGGAAAATCACGCTTTACCGAGATATTACAAAAAACTGCACCGTGGGAAAAATCTACGACAGGGCTAAAATGATAGTATAATGTTTACTCTATCATCATGTTGATTTTCAGCCGTGAGGTATGGCGGTCCATTAAACTCTTAGAATAAGCAGCTTTTTCTTGAATTGTCAATCCACTACAGTGACCATTATTGTGATGACAAGATAGTATTATTTACATCAGCGTAAATTCAGTGACATTATTGTGATGACAAGATAGTATTATTTATATCAGCGTATAGTCAGTGACATTATTGTGATGATAACATATTATTATTGACATCAGCGTATAGTCAGTGATATTATTGTGATAACAAGATAGTATTATTTAAATCAGTGTATAGACAGTTATATCATTCAGTGACTTTTTTCTTTTTCTTGTTCTTTAAAGCTGCTGCTTGTGATGCTCTAAAGTTTGCTTTTGAAATTCTCTCAGTTTTTCTTTTTTCATAATAATTACTTTTACGTTTCCATTCTTTAACCTCTTCTTTCTTTTGTCGTTTGAAAAAGCCACACTGTAAGAAAATAGCATAAAATTAATATATAGATGCAAATTATACCCATAATCTAATACATGTACTACTGGGGGAATAATAGGACATTTTGTTATATTAAGAGAAAAAGTGGACATTTCCGTGGTATGAATATATTTTATAGAGTAAAAAAAAAATATAAATTTGAGACACTGTATGAGGATACACAGCACAATGTTTTTAATCATACACATAGCTCACCCGACTATTAAGATATTGTGTATATTCTATCAACACAACAACATTCAAAAACTGTATTGCAATAGTTGTAAGTCTTGTTGAATTTCGGCAATCGTATTTAAGTAAAATCATGTAACAAGAAAGATTCTTTATAACGTATTGAAAAAGAAAAACCTAAGGAACCCCTTACATAACTGAAATGTTTGATGCAGATCTGCAGAGAAAAATTTAATTAAGGTACCCCTTACAGAACTGAAATGTTGGAAGCAGATCAGCATAGAAAAACCTAAGGTATCCCTTACAGAACTGAAATATTTGAAGCAGATCTGCTGCAGGTTTGCAGGAACCCTTTAAATAATGTTTGCAGACGTTTACAGCTAAACCTCCTGCAAACATTGCAGCTTTTTGCTGTAAGTTTGCGGCAAGTTTGCAGAAAAAATTATGTTTGCAGTAAGATTGCAGAAAAAACTAGAGTAAAAGGGATGTTTGCAGCTAGACTGCAGGAAAAACTAGAGTATAAGGGATGTTGCAGCTAGATTGCAGGAAAAACTAGAGTATAAGGGATGTTTGCAGCTAGATTGCAGGAAAAACTAGAGTATAAGGGATGTTTGCAGCGATATTGCAGGAAAAACTAGAATATAAGGGATGTTCGCAGCTAAATTGCAGGAAAAACTAGAGTATAAGGGATGTTTGCAGCTAGATTGCAGAAATCTAATTAACAGGTAAAATATATAACGGATTTGATATAGATTGTATCCTGAATACGGGGCTCGTTCACGAAATGTTTAAGAATTATATTATATTATGAATATATGCTATCAAAACTTTGTTTTAACATTAGTATTAGAAGTCTCTTTTCAATATAGATCTATTATTTATACTATTTACCTTTATTATTGGCGCAAATGAAATGTACTATTTAGTCGCAAATGAAATATGGTTCGTGGTGCAAATGAAAGATTTCTTTGGTGCAAATAAAATGCTAACTGGCGCAAAAGTTAAACAGTGGATAAATCTTTATTGAAACAATACCTAGATTATAGGTCAGTCAACAATCACTGTCAAAACAACAACGAGGAAACATATTATTGGTCTCGGTTGATTTGCATGTCTTAAATATATATATATATATATATTTTGCATATGTGTATTCGTTTTGAATAGCAACATGAATTTAAAGAATGTCAGCATCTTTTTGTAATTCAAAAGTATTGTTAAATACAATGACGAAAACACTTCTGTGTGATTGAGATCTTCTGTATTTATAATTAATTTAATGCGGACAGCACTTATAGAACTTATCTACCACATTAATCTTTCCATCCGGAAGATAAGAGATAAATAAAAGGAGAAAGTACGATGTTGTGCTTATTTGGTTCTGTAAATTGTCCGAAATCAAATTATTGGATTATAAAACAAATTGGTTGTAAGCATGTGTAAGTCAAATTGTCCCAAATTTTGGCAAATTCACCGTTCTACTGAATTTACTGTCTTTTCAAGGCTGTATTACCAATGTCTTGCAAATATTTCAAACCAAAACCGCAATGTTTTACTTAAGTACATAGGTTCAAAATTTACTTCTGCAAATTTGAAAATAATTAAAATACATTCAAATACAATTCTTTTTAATGCTAAGTTGTCCCCTTGTCGTACCTTTTCCTTTTGCATGGGTCTTTCTATAGAAGTTATATCCACTGATCGAGATGAAGAACACATATTGTGCATTTGTCTTTCTATAAACCTTCTTTCTGTTGATCGAGACTAAGAACTTTAATTGTGCATGGAATCTTTTATATACCTTATTTCTACTAATCGATATTAAGAACTCAAATTGTACATGGATCTTTGATCATTACTTCCTTAGTGCGTCTTTATTCCGTCTAAATACGATTAAAACAAAATAACAAGTTCTGATCAAGATAGCAACAAGTTTCAACACAGTTCTAAAAGTTCTAGGTAGGTTCTGAGTACGCCCTACTCGTTTTGAGTACGACAGCTCTTAAAACGTACACCCACGACTGCAGTACAATCAGGCATAAAACGAAACCGTTTTCCTGCTGGTTCATTATTTGGTTACGTATATGCCCAGAAACATGGATAACCTTGTAGCTCGGGGAGGGGGGATGGGAGTATCTTCAGTGAGTGTGATCACAGTGTTAGTTTGTATAGAGGGGAAGTAAAATAATTTTATACAATGTATTAACATTACTTTCATGCTGTACATCAGCTTATAACAATGAAGAAATCAACATAGCATCATATGCATCAAACGGAATATCAGACAGATATAGCCGGGTAAAATGGCGTTCCGGCTAAATAGAAATCAAGAAGGAATATTTCGCTCCTTAAACTTTTATTTTAGCAGTCCGGCAAGACCGAACAACAAGCTCTAAACCAAATGTAATGTGACATACAAACAATAACAATATATATAAGCACAAGCAATTAAAGGATTAAGAAGATTAACATATGCCAAATAGAAATAACAATAGATTAGAAGAGTAATTAATGTCCGACACGTATAAGTAAATTATTGTCTAAACTGTTACAGAGAATAAATAATTAAATGGATAGAGTAAATGAATTTAAGTCCTTTGTCCAAGATTTTGACACATAATCCGTGTAAAACACTTATGCCTAAATTTACGACAAAGTTCAGAATAATAAAAAAATAAATGCAAAACAAGAATATACATTAAAACAATTGAATTCATAAAATGTTGTTTAAAACTATTTTCACACTGCACAGTCCAAATAGTCCGGTCATATATTCCCGCGGCCCTTGAAGACACGACCCGGGTCTTAATGTTCATCTAAAATTGTTCCGAAAGTTTCTTCTGTGATTGTGGCGTCCTCTGTAACGATAATTTTGGTTTGAATAGTTATCTTCTCTTGTATTTTTCCTAAAATTGTCCAATTCGTCTTCTAGTTTAGTGATTCGATCCCGCATATGTTCTTTGTCGCGTTGTAATTGGTATTGCTGGTCGATTGCTTCACATCTTTGATCGTAAATCCGAAAATTAGCTTCTTCAAGATCAGTAATGCGTTCCCGTAATTTTTCCATATCTTTTTTATCATCTGCACCTTGTTTTTGAAGTTTTTCTAGATTGCTAACAACACTGGTATGCTTTTGATTTAACTCTTTAAATTTCTTTTCATAGTGTACACTTTTAATTTTAAACTTTACTCTCTCTGAATTCACTCGGTCGTGCCTGAGTCTTACGTTATCTATGAATTCCTTGTTATATTCTAAGGTTGGAAAGAAGTCCATCAGTTCAATAGTATTGAGTTCCGCACAAGGAAAAATTGACATAGCTTTCTGTTCTTTGAATTTTCTCATTCTTTCTGCGTCACGACGTAACTTGGATTTCGATTTAACCTTAACAACTTTCACGTCCGGTTGTCTGTGAAAGTTACACATTCTGGCGAAATGTCCAAAATTTCTGCACTTATAGCAAAATGACTTTTTTGCTATACATTGTCTAAAATGAAATTGATTGTTCACAGTCTTTCCACAAAACTTACATAGGTAGTTGTTCATATGTTGAAAATTTTTTGTCTGAAAGGTAGTTCCATGATCAGACATCTGGTATCTCCAGTCTCGGCCAAAATTTCTGGTTCTCAGCGTATCCATTTTTCTGTTTGCTGGGAAATCAGCTTCACAGGTAGAACAAGGTATCCGATAGATGCGTTGCCCGGATGTCCTAACACCAGATATGTCCGGGTAAAATGGCGTTCCGGCTAAATAGAAATCAAGAAGGAATATTTCGCTCCTTAAACTTTTATTTTAGCAGTCCGGCAAGACCGAACAACAAGCTCTAAACCAAATGTAATGTGACATACAAACAATAACAATATATATAAGCACAAGCAATTAAAGGATTAAGAAGATTAACATATGCCAAATAGAAATAACAATAGATTAGAAGAGTAATTAATGTCCGACACGTATAAGTAAATTATTGTCTAAACTGTTACAGAGAATAAATAATTAAATGGATAGAGTAAATGAATTTAAGTCCTTTGTCCAAGATTTTGACACATAATCCGTGTAAAACACTTATGCCTAAATTTACGACAAAGTTCAGAATAATAAAATAAATGCAAAACAAGAATATACATTAAAACAATTGAATTCATAAAATGTTGTTTAAAACTATTTTCACACTGCACAGTCCAAATAGTCCGGTCATACAATCATAAACTATGTCACCATATGCAGTATCATCATTTAAAAAAAACACAAATATGTATCAAACGAAATACCAGACGATCATAAAGCATGTCACCATATGTAGTATTATTATTATTAATACACAAGTGTCAACAATACGGCAAACGAGAATGAGAACTGGCAGAAACGTTAACGTGCTGGTTTTTTATAGCAGTCATACCAGGACGTGATGACAATAACGTTCTGAACGCACTAGGGATGGGATGGGGACCTGGTAAGAACAATTTAAACTATCTGTGTACGAGGTGATCGAGTAAGGAACCAGAAATAACGGATTTCGACGTATAAGAAACGAAGTAGAACTAGTTACGAACCGGTTTTATCGGCCTACAGACTGGATAGAACTATTTACAAATGCTGTAATCATGAGCTAAATGGGCAATTTTACCCGATCTGAACTGTATATATACGGACTGTAGACGGGATAAAGACGAGATGGACGTATCGAGAACTGTTTAAGAACTAACTGGTGTCGCATTATAGACATTGTCCGGCCAAAACTATACGTTCAAACCAGTCCACAACCCATTTTACGTTTATTTAAGGACGGGTTCGAACGTTTTGAGAAATGGTTTGGAATGACAGAAGCTCTAGCTAATGACATTCAGTCCCACATCTCTTATTTCGTAAATATTTATTAATAGACTAAATTCATGTCATTTTGACATTCTGATATGTCAAGAATTTTCAAAGGTTAACCGAAGAAAATAGTTATACACGTAACAGGATTACTTTCGAAAATATCCTGTGTTGTATACACAGATACGAAAATATCCTGTGTTGTATACACAGATACGAAAATATCTTGTGTTGTATACACAGATACGTATTTATGTTTTATTTTCTATAAAAAAAACACAGTTCGTATGAAAAAAAAGTAAAATAACCGAAAATACCGAACTCCAAGGAAAATTCAAATCGGAAATTCACTTATCAAATGGCAAAATCAAAAGCTCAAACGAATGGAAAACAACTGTCATGTTCCTGACTCGGTACAGGCATTTCCTTATGTAGAAAAGGGTGGACTAAACCTGGTTTTATAGCTAGCTAAACCTCTCACTTGTAAAATAATACTCGCATAAAATTCCATTATATTGACAACAATGTGTGAACAAAACAAACAGACATAATAGGTAAAAGTGTCAAAAATAGGGGTACAGCAGTCAACATTGTGTTATAATCTCCATCACTATAAAAACATACAAATATGCCAACAAAGAAAAACAAAATGGCATATAAACAAGGCACATACGTATCTTTAGTTTGCTGAAATTTGACTAACTGACCTAGGAAAATCTTAAACACGACCTTGTAACCTACTGAAACCCAAACTATAATTGTCTGAAAACCAGTAAATAAATGTAAAAGATGCACGTGAAAAACTTGGAAAATCCGATAATTACACTTAAAACGCAATATCTCTGAAGAGTACAAACATATTTATAATAAACAATCTTACGCACCGCCAAATTTCTCCGACAATCAAAAGAATTTTTGGCAAGACCTCCAATCTACCAATTACAATTATGCCGTATACGTCACTTAAATGTTTATAGAAAACGGACTGTATACAGTCATTATGGAGGACATTCTTAGTTTTTGAATGATTCAGTCAGTGATTGTGTTCGCATATTTTCTTTCCTTTCTTATTTTTTTTTTGCTTGTATTTTTTTTTTTGTTTTTTTGTTATTGGCGGAATTTGATGACTAAATGTTGACCAATAGATGTCTTTTGCTTTGTTTGATGTGTCTTTTGGTAGCTGTTTGAGTGATTTACCCCCTCTCCGCCGTTTTATGTCTTTTGGTTTGTTTGATATGTCTTTTGGTAGCTGTTTGAGTGATTTACCCCCTCTCCATCGTTTTATGTCTTTTGGTTTGTTTGATATGTCTTTTGGTAGCTGTTTGAGTGATTTACCCTCTCTCTGTCGTTTTATGTCTTTTGATAGCTGTTTGAGTGATTCACCTCTCTCCATCGTTTTATGTCTTTTACTTTGTTTGATATGTCTTTTGGTAGCTGTTTGAGTGATTTACCCTCTCTCTATCGTTTTATGTCTTTTGGTAGCTGTTTGAGTGATTTACCCTCTCTCTATCGTTTTATGTCTTTTGGTTTGTTTGATATGTCTTTTGGTAGCTGTTTGAGTGATTTACCCTCTCTCCATCGTTTTATGTCTTTTGGTTTGTTTGATATGTCTTTTGGTAGATATTTCAGTGATTTACCCCCTCTCCATCGTTTCATGTCTTTTGGTTTGTTTGGTATGTCTTTTGGTAGCTGTTTCAGTGATTTACCCCCTCTCCATCGTTTTGTGTCTTTTGGTTTGTTTGATGTGTCTTTTGGTAGCTGTTTGAGTGATTTACCCTCTCTTTATCGTTTTATTCAAATCGACAAGTTTATAAGTGACTAATTAGAAACAAGACACTTACTGCATTCTGAAGCTTATGGATTGGACAACAAAAATTGTTTTAAATAAACTGCAAAGTTGTTTGTTGTGGATTATGTTAATTACAATATCAATTTATAATTGATATTTAAACAATTGGACATAAAGTTGTTTACATCCACTGCATTTATTCTTTGGTGGATAGCTGTTTCATTTGCAATCATATAACATCTCCTTATTTTTATAACTAAGTTACTTCAGTCCGCTTATCAATTCAGTCATAAATAGACTTGCAGTTATTACTATACCCACCTTCCATAAACCTATTACCAGTAAAACATACCCACCTTCCATAGACCTACACCCACTAAAACATACCCACCTTCCTAAGACCTACACCCAGTAAAACATACCCACCTTCCTTAGACCTACACCCAGTAAAACATACCCACCTTCCTAAGACCTACACCCAGTAAAACATACCCACCTTTCATAGACCTACCCCCAGTAAAACATACCCACCTTCCATAGACCTACTGCCAGTAAAACATACCCACCTTCCATAGACCTACACCCAGTAAAAGTTAAACATACCCACCTTCCTAAGACCTACACCCAGTAAAACATACCCACCTTCCATAGACCTACACCCAGTAAAACATACCCACCTTCCATAGACCTACACCCAGTAAAACATACCCACCTTCCATAGACCTACACCCAGTAAAACATACCCACCTTCCATAGACCTACACCCAGTAAAACATACCCACCTTCGATAGACCTACACCCGGTAAAACATACCCACCTTCCATAGACATACACCCAGTAAAACATACCCACCTTCCATAGACCTACACCCAGTAAAACATACCCACATTCCATAGACCTACACCCAGTAAAATATACCCACCTTCCGTAGACCTACACCCTGTAAAACATACCTACCTTCCATAGACCTATACCCAGTAAAACATACCCACCTTCCATAGACCTACACCCAGTAAAACATACCCACCTTCGATAAACCTACACCCGGTAAAACATACCCACCTTCCATAGACATACACCCAGTAAAACTTACCCACCTTCCATTGACCTACACCCAGTAAAACATACCCACCTTCCATAGACCTACACCCAGTAAAACATACACCTTCCATAGACCTACACCCAGTAAAACATACCCCCTTTCATAGAATTACACCCAGTAAAACATACCCACCTTCCATAGACCTACTGCCAGTAAAACATACCCACCTTCCATAGACCTACACCCAGTAAAACATACCCACCTTCCATAGACCTACACCCAGTAAAACATACCCACCTTCGATAAACCAACACCCGGTAAAACATACCCACCTTCCATAGACCTACACCCAGTAAAACATACCCACCTTCCATAGACATACACCCAGTAAAACATACCCACCTTCCATAGACCTACACCCAGTAAAACAAGCAGGACCAATCCACCAACACTGCTACCAATTATAATCCATAAATTGATTTTTTCTGACTCTACTGTAACTTCTGTAGGAAATATTTCACTTGGAACCTGTAAGATGATCACGTAAAACATGTTAATGGTTCATTTACTTGATTGATGATAAAAAAAACAAAGGGTTTAAGATGACGCTAATTCTTTACTTAACTGGAAGACTTTATCGGGGGTAAATGTTCTATTTATTTGTTTGTATTGGCTTTTTAAAACTTGTAAAAAAGGCAGGACAGGAGTTTTGAGTAAAAAAAAGGCAGGATGAGCAACTTGGCAAAAAAAAAATAGACAGTATGACAATTTATGTAAAAACAAAGTCAGGATAAACTAATAAAAAAAAGGCAGGACCAAATAGAGTGAAAAATAAATATGCAGGACAGAGATTACAACAACAAAAAAAAAAAGGCAGGACAAAATTTTTCATCCTAGTTACATACATATATATCCGATGCTCGAAGGATTGATAGCGACGATGAGTTACATGCATATATACTCGGACTTACTTCTATTGTCGAGGAATTGTTGGCGATGATGAGTTACATGCATATATACCCGGACTCAAAACTTAAATCGATGCTCGAAGGATTGATAGCGACGATGAATTACATGCATATACTGTAAACCAACTAATTTTCGCGAGCGATTTATTTTCGCGACTTTCGCGAGTAGAAAAATAACGCGAATATAAATCGTCGCGAACATGTAAAACTTGGATTTTTCCTTATTAAACTACATCAATTTAATTAGAAAATCGCGAAATTAAATAGCCTCGAAGTGGACTAGAAAGTGTTAAACGCGAAATAAAGTATCCGCGAAAATAAGTTGGTTTACACTATACCCGGACTTACTTCTAGGCTCTACTAATAAATAGAGACGATGATTACATGCATATACGCTCGGACTTACTTCTAGGCTCGAAAAATTGATAGCGACGTTGCGTTACATGCATATATACCCGGACTTACTCCTATGCTCGAAGGATTGGTAGCGAAGACGAGTTACATGTATATATACCCGGACTTATTTCTATGCTCAACGAATTTGTAGCGACGATGAATTACATGCATATATGCCCGGACTTACTTCTAGGCTCGAAGAATTTGTAGCGACGATGAATTACATGCATATATACCCAACATACTCTTTGGCTCGAAGAATTGATAGCGACGATGAATTACATGCATATATACTAGGACTTACTTCTATACTCGAAGAATTGGTAGCGACGATGAGTTGTCTGTTATTGTTCTCGCTCTTTAGTGTAGCTATACTTTTATAAACTATACCAGACACCTGAAACAATTATTGTTATTGTTAATAGCGGTAGACATTGTTATAATATATGATCTTAAATGTTTAACGCAGAAAAGTTTACGAATGATCGGTATTAGTATTTACCCAGACAAGGATACAAATACTTAGTATCCATCCCAAGAAACAGGAAAGTTTTACTTGATAGTCCTTTCGTGATACAGAAAACAATATTAATATCAGATTATTACATGACAGTTTTCATATCAGTCAATGGTCAAAAGATATTAGCACATTAGCCGAAGTCTTCGTGCTATGATGGTTTTTTTTTTTGGGTTTTTTGTTTGTCGTCCTACTTTTAACGTGACTTTCGCGTTTTTGACTTTGGGCTTTCGTGGTGCAGATGGGTCCTGTGATGCGATTCGGACGCAAGAGATTTAAACACTGTTGTTTTTATTTTGTTTACCCTTGTATCTATATTTTTCTTAATTTATACTTTATCGAGAAAGTGTATTCTATATACGGTATGTACTATCTTTTTGCTATCAACTACAAAAACGTTTGATTTTGTCAGTTTTTATGGACTTTCTCCTTTTTTAATTTACCTTGGAATTCGGTATTTTTATTCATATACTTCCACTTGCAAAAAAAGCATTGTATTAAAATGTTCTATTTGAAAAACATCATTCACAATTACGCAATTTGAACTGCAAGTCAACAACATAGGCAGCTGAATATGATATAATTCGATTTAACTGACATATAGCCGTAGAATACTTAAAAGTATGTATACTATCAACAAATTTCACTCTGATGGTTTTTTTTAACAAATATGATCTCCTGTACCTGCTTCGCGGTGAGTTTCTTAGTTTATCGAAAAATAAGAATCATTTAATAAAAGTGTTATGAACTGGCTGTTTCTGTATTGGCCCTCGTATAGGTCCTAGATCAACTATTTTGGCCCTCGACTCTTCGGACTTAAGACCAATACAGAACAACCAGTCAATAACACCATTATATCTCATCGAAACAGGATACTTTAATTTGCTCCCAGACTAAAAGACAAATTGAAAGAGTTGGTCCTGCTTTGTTTCATAAAAAAGAATGGCCAACGAAAATACAAGTATCTTGTCATAGGGGGGATAAATCGTAATTTGTAAAAAAATCACTCTGATTCAAACAAAATTTTTTCTGAAACTGACATTATCAAGATGCTTGATTTCTTGATTGACAACATATTTGTAACGTTTGGAGGACGTGTTTTTCAACAAACAATCGGCATTCTCATGGAAACCAACTGTGCTCCTCTTCTTGTCGACTTATTCCTTTATGCATATGAGGCTGACTTCATACAAGAACTTCTTAGGAAAAAAGAAAAGAGTTAGCAGTATCCTTTAACTTCACAATCCGCTATAAAGATGATGTACCCCCACTAAATAATTTTTGATGATATGTTGAACGCATCTTTCCCATCGTTCCTAAAACAAAGGATATAACCGATACAGTTAAGTATCTCACATATCTTGACTTACTTCTAGAAACTGACAAAGATGGTCGGTTGAAAACAAAACTTTACAACAAAAGAGATGATTTCAGCTTCCCAATTGTGAATTTTCCATTTCTATGTAGCAACCTTCCAGCAGCGCCTGCATACGGAGTATATATATCCCATTTGATACGATATTCCAGGGCTTGTATTTCTTATCATGATTTCCTTGATAGAGGTTTGCTGCTCACAAGGAAGCTATTAAATCAAGAGTTCCAAGTGGTGAAGAATCGTCCCTTCGTACATTTTACGGACGCCATCACGAGTTGGTTGACCGTTATGGAATATCCTGTCCCATTTTCCCCGAATGTGACCTACTGAATTAGACTTATCACTGGTTTGTACTAACATAAGCAACGTGTTGAGCAACGTGTTGAATGTCCCTTTGGTATCCTTCGCCTCTCTTTTTCCAAGGACCAAGAACTCGAAATTGGTCCATTCCCTCTAAAATGATGCGATAATCTGATATTTCTTAAAAAAGAGTTTTCATTTGCTGATCTGTATTCCGCAGAACAGGACACGATAACATTATAGTCTGGGATCTTGACACAAAACTTTAAATACCGTAAAAGGAATTTCCGGTCGAATATATTTGAAATGAAGCTTGCGAAATCGTAAAAAAATCATCAAGACACTAGATTACAGTCTCGCTGAACAGGTAACAATAACTTGATACAATTATGTACAACTTTGTATCACTTTAGTGAAACATGATACGATAAACTGATTTTACCACAGCGGAACATGATATGATATTTTGAAAAACGCTCCGGAGGACAGAAAACGATAACCAAATATTTATCCCACAGTACAAGGTACAATAACATGAGAGCCATCCCACAGACTCAAAATACGATAATAGGATATGATAACTTAATATCACTTCCAAGGGATAGATCGAATAAGATCCATTATTATCAATCCCGAGTAACAGGATATGATAACTTGATATTAGTCCTTTGAAATAATATATGATAACTAGGTATGTTTCCCGTGAAACAGGGAGCGATACTAAAATTTCACTCTGCAATACAGGACCCTTTCTCTTGATATATCTCAATATTTTTTTTCAGAATTACAATACCGGAGTTGTTTGTTGTTTCCACCTGAGTGGATTAGTTTGTGCTGTTTTTCCGGTAACAGTTGACATGCGTGTTGTCTCGTATTCTGATACCGTTTGTCTGTGTAACACAGCTGATCCAGTTCACTTCACATATATATCAATATGTTCACATATGTATTTGATCAATCCATTATACATACCATTGTTCATAGAGAAGGCTTAATAATTGCTGTATTTATTAGAAGCTTTACGGCAACTTAATAGAGCATTTGCTTCTCAGTTTTCACTATGTTTTAAAATTTGTGTTTCCTTTTAAAAATTTCTTTTTCGGTTGTTTACAAGATTATTTTTTAATTAAACAAACAGCTAACTTTGGCTAACTTATACGGACTTGCTTTTGTAGAATAATCTCTAATTACAACTTACCATTGCAAAAGGCAAATTAAGTACAAATAACAAAGACGACTAGATATGGATTAGGGTTTATTTTCATTGTACTTACCTTTGTAAAACTTAGTGAATCTTCTGATATATTCACAAAAACATCAAAGGCTTCCGTCTCGTCTTTCTCTAACAAATCAATCTTTATTTCAATGATCGCCCATTTACTCGAATCCACTGTGTTACATGACTGCAACATAAGTTTCATTTGATTAGCAAGGAATGATGGATAATAACAAACGTTATAAAACATTAAAAAAGCAGAAATAGAAATTTTATTAACAAATCGACAAGAAAGTCCAAGCCTGTATCACTCACCTGTCATCTATAAACTGTACCTCAATTTGAGTACCAGTAATATTAAATCATGTCATCCAGAGTCCCAATACCCTGTATCACTCACTTTGCATCTGTATACAGGAGCTCAATATGAGTTCCAGTAATGTTAAATCATATTCTCGAAATAATTAAGATTGGGATTAATAAGTTCGACCGTCGTAGAAGTTCTCTCAATGAACAACTAAAACAAAACTAATTCGTCGAATAGAATAGAGAATGGAAACGGGTAATGTGTCAAAGAGACAACAATCCCACCAACTAGCAGAAAACAGCACAAGGCCTCCAAATGGTCTTCAACGCAGCGAGAAAACAGTACAAGGCCACCAAAGGGTCTTCAACGCAGCAAGAAAACAGCACAAGGCTACCAAATGGTCTTCAACACAGCGAGAAAACAGCACAAGGCCACCAAAGGGTCGTCAACACAGCGAGAAAACACCACACGGCCACCAAAGGGTCGTCAACGAGCTTCAGCTGTCGAAATAAACTTTATCATCCAATATAAAGATTTATATTTGATATTAATGATAATATCAAGTGTCTTAAGGCTTCGATTCTTCATATCATTCTCGTAAAGTAAGACAGCAATTTTCCTCTAAATAAATTTGTATTTTCTAAAGTATTTTTCTTTTCTTTTCTTTTTCTTAGTTTTTGTTTGGTAATTTTTTATTAATTTCTTTTTCAAATTCAGTATGACTGATGGATATGATTAAAATATATATACCATAATTCTGAACCAAATAAGTACGGGGTTCATTTACCGAAATCTTGATTGTAATATCAAAAACAAATGGAATGAATATTTTGTGATATATATTTTTAGTTATGTTGCTGAATTTTTTAATGACAATTTTGATACTTTAGATGACAACCAAAAATTAGTGTTTTTATTCTCAGAGGTAAATATGATCCGTGTGTGTGCCAAATCCTATTGTTTAATTTTAAGAAGACGTAGAAATTTTATGTTTTGTAAATAATACTTTATATCATATTGTTTAATGTAGTATCTCTATGCATTTTAATAGTCTCTTATTCTGTATAGAAAAACTCTCATCTTATGTAGTATTGTTTTACAATTTATGAATATCGATTGTACTTGTTGAGAGATGAGACTTTAAAAAGACATTAAATTGAATTGAATAATGCGTGCACCAATAAGTTAAAAACTAAAGTTGTCAAAATAGGTATATATTCTATACATCTTGTTTGTTTAATAGGAAATGAGATCTTTCTCGATCATTTGAACAGTAGAAATAATACCAAACTGTAACATGATGTTAAAAGAAATACAAATATATCATGATACTTAAAACTCTAAATCAAACAAACATGTTTAATAAAAAGTAAAGTGTAGACGTTGGTTATGCTTTTTATCACTTACAATTTCCTTAATTGTTCGTTTTGATTGTTGTTCTTGGCTGAGCATCTGATTAGTTTCTCTACGCCTTCGACTGTGTGTTGATTGTTGTGTTGTATTACTAGTAGACGATATAGTTGATACTTGATTTGTAAAGGGTTCAGATGTTGTGAAATTACTATTATCATGTCCATTAAATTTTTCGCCGGCAAATTCAACCACACTCCATGTAATCCTCGAACTTTGTCCTGATATCTGTAATATAACGTTAACTTGTAAACTTACTTTCTCGATTTGATATTTTTATTTGTTTTTGTTTGTTCGTATATTTTCTTAAAACTATTATATCTGTTATGATTCAGTAGTTGACGGCCATGTTTCACAGTGGTTGAATTTTGTTCTAGATACAATTGATAATCTTGTCCAAGAAATGATAATAGAAGCTATAGTTTTAATCTTAGATATATGATGTTTTTAATTATTTGTTATTGGCTTTGACAACTCGCTTTCAGTAACTTCAAGTATTGTCATAACTGTACATTATGTCTTTTGTGTTTTTGTAAGTTCTTTTGATGATTTGTATCGATCAGATGAGTTTAGTCCTTTCTAACTGATATTTAAAGTTTGTTCTTATGTTGTGATGTTTTCCGTTTATTGTTTTGTACACAAATCAGGCTGTTAGTTTTCTCGTTTGAATTGTTTTACATTTACCACTCTGGGGCTTTTTATAGCTTGCTACGTGATATGGGTTATACTCGTTTTTGAGGCCGTATGGTGACCTATAGTTCTATACTTCTACATCGGTTGGTCTCTGGAGGATAGTTGTCTGATTGGCACAATCATACCACATCTTCTTATCTTTATATTTTCTTTTTTCACATTTTCAGCAATCTAATATGCAACAATATCAATCTTATAGCTTGTATGTTTGATGATCTACATATATATCGGATATTCATATGCACAAGCAAAGAAGGTCGTCATGTTATACATATATGTGCATACCTGTATCTTGGCATTGCACAAGGTCGTGTTTTTCTCTGACTGTTAAAGACGTCTTTACACTAAATCCATTGGATGTTGGATGTGTACTGATTGATATTTTAGTCTTAGATGCAGGAGTTTTTTATTAGTTGTTATTGGCTTTGAACTAGCTGTCAGTAATTGAGGGTACTCTCAGATCTGTACTTAGTGTCTTTTTGTTGTTGGGATATATAAGTACCTTGCCACGTCCACTCTGTGTTTTTGTTAGATGTATTTCTGCTTTGTGTCCATCTGATGAGTTTAGCCCTTTTCAACTGATTTTTATAGTTTGTTCTTATGTTGTACTGTTACACCACTGTCCTGGGTTAGGGGGAGGTATGTACCTGTCCCAAGTCAGGAGCCTGTAATTCAGTGGTTGTCATTTCTTGTTGTATATCATATTTGTTTTTCGTTCATTATTTTGTACATAAATCAGGCCGTTAGTTTAATCGTCTGAATTGTTTTACATTTGTCATTTCGGGGCCTTTTATAGCTGACTATGTGGTATGGGTTTTCCTCATGGTCAAAACCTATAGTTGCTAATTTTTGTGTCATTTGGTCTCTTGTGGAGAGTTGTCTCATTGGCAATCATACCACAACTTCTTATTTTTTGTATGTATATTACTTTCTATATATCATTCCTGTTTGATCTAAATGAGGCTAAACTATTGTAACAGCGTGGGTGTTGCCGCCGACCTGTTTTCTGATTTGACGAAAAAGATGTCATTGTTGGTGTTCGAACATGCGTTTGTTTAATATTTCTTAGTGTACAGCAGGTGGTAGTTTTAAATAAAGATATCTGTGATAAAATCTATCTTATCTGTCGTAACTACAATACCCTTCCCTTTTCACGAATGTGACTTACCGAATTAGACTATTTACCGGATTTGTAATAACATAAGAAACACGACGGGTGCCACATGTGGAGCAGGATCTGCTTACCCTTCCGGAGCACCTGAGATCACCCCCAGTTTTTGGTGGGGTTCGTGTTGCTTAGTCTTTAGTTTTCTATGTTGTGTCATCTGTACTATTATTTGTCTGTTTGTCTTTTTATTTTTGGCCATGACGTTGTCAGTTTGTTTTCGATCTATGAGTTTGACTGTCCCTCTGGTATCGTTCGTCCCTCTTTTATAACAATGGTATAATTTAAAAATTCTTGATAAATAACTTTTTATTATAAAAGAATATATTTACCAGTGGAAAAATGTTTGATATTCAATACAAACTATACTAGAATGTATCTTCCCATGCTATTTTTCGCCATACGCATCATAAAAATAAACAAATTTACTGACGGAAAAACGTACACTTTTAAGATGTGAACATTCATATAAACATTATGGAGGTATTCAAATGGTCATTATCAGCAATAAAAAATAATTTCAGTTCACTCCCATTATATATGGTCAATCGCTAAAATGATTTTCGCCGGGAAAAAATGGTATTATTAAACATTCTAAGCCCGAAATTGAATGATGAATGATATTTTGATTTACTAAAATAAAATTCAGTTTTATTTTCAAGAGGGTACCCAATTTCAGAATTACTTTAGTAGTCTCTCTTGTATTTGTTAACGTCACACCATTGTTAACAACAATCATTTATTTTACAACACTTAATATATTTATACAAGTCACATTGTACCTGAAGATCTGTGAAAGCTGTGAAAGCGTTTGTAATTTCGTTGAATTGAAACCGTTATCATCTTTTATTACTTTTATGAATATATATATATATATATATATAGTTGTAGGACTCGGATGTGTGATTGGGACGTTGAAGTGCGATGGTCACGGTAAAGTGCGATGATCCTTTTGCTGATGTGCAATGGTCTATATGACGCGTGATGGCTAGTTTTAAATCTACAGATGTGCAATTATTATGAGAAGTTTCTTTTATTAGTTAGTGTATAAATTCCAAACACTCCATCAAAACCATCTACAATGATCTATCAATGGTTTTCAGTCTTTGAAATCAGTACCGATTTTAAAGAAAACTCCATATTAAATTGAACGGGTAATACTCTCGATGAAAGCAGTTTCTTACAAACAAATTGACTTCCACATCGACTTATGAACATGAAAAACAATGAAAACATAGATACCGTAGTGCTTCGCACTTCAGAGTTACAACCAACATACTTCGGCGTAGCTATCGACAAGATAGCGTCCAATTGCCATCAGAGTAATCAAAACGCACCTCAGCGTCAACGCATCGCAGTTCAGCGTGATCATCGCAGTTCAAAGTCCTACTTGTATATAAAGAAAAGTTTTTTGTAACTTTCCACATTATATAAATAAATGCTTCCCTTGTATATTAGATACTTCGCCAGATGTAAGCGATTGAGATTTGGTAATACTTCTTTATCTCAGCCGGGTAATGTGCTGACCTCAAACTTATAGGTACAAGAGGAGACAATGTGATTTTATAATACAAATCCTGCTCTCCAGTTACATATAAAAAGGCTAAGATGAAAATACTCTTACATTGTATGGTAACTTTCAATATATATCAATTAAAACAATACTTTTCCAACCGGTTTCAACTCTTACAAGATAATCATGGCTGACTGCAAAAACGATTGTAGCTGTGAAAACGTTACGTTATGGTTATAACAATAGTGCTTACAAACAAGATGGACTCGGACCTCTGGACTTACTTTTATTGTCCTTATTGTCAACATACTTATTCCAATATCTGATATGATAACAAGACGGATTTCTATAGATCCATTTTATAGCGGACATCTTTAGATCAATTATACAACGGACTCGAAAGTCTAGAATTACCTGTGTCAACCTTCTTGTCATCATACTTTTCTATATATCTGATATGACAGATTTCTACAGATCCATTATACAGTGGATTCAGACCTCTTCAATTACCTTATTGGCCGTCTTATCATTATACCTTTCCCTATGTCTGATATGATTGGTAGACAGATTTCTATAGATCCTTTATTCAGGGAATTCGGACCGCTTCAGTTACCTTATTGGCCTCTGAAACTACCTGTAGTGTCAATCTTGTCATTATACATTTCTCTATATCTAACGCTACCTATATTGTCCATCTTGTCATCATAATTTTTCTTACATCTAGTATGACAGGTCGACACATTTATATAGATCCATTATACAGCAAACTCGCACCTAAGGCTTTAACAACATTGACCCTCTTGTCATCATACTTACCCTTTATATGATACGACGATAAGTCATATTTCTATAGATCCATTATACAGGGGAATCAGACCTAAGGACTATGCAACATTGACCCTCTTGTCAATATACTTAACCATTTATAATATCACAGCAAGACAGATTTCCATAGATCCATTATACAGGGGATTCAGACCTAAGGACTTATCAATATTGACCCTCTTGTCATCATACTTAACCCTTTGTATGATACGACGTGAAGACATATTTCTATAGATCCATTATACATGGGAATCAGACCTAAGGACTATGCAACATTGACCCTCTTGTCACCATACTCAACCCTTTATATGATATCACAGGAAGACAGATTTCTATAGATCCATTATACAGGGGATTCAGATCTAAAGACTTAGCAACATTGACCTTCTTGTCATCATACTTAACCCTTTGTATGATACGAAGTTAAGACATGTTTCTATAGATCCATTATACAGGGGAATCAGGCCTAAGGACTATGCAACATTGACCCTCTTGTCATCATACTTAACCCTTTATATGATATCACAGGAAGACAAATTTATATAAATCCATTACACAGGGGATTCAGACCTAATGACTTAACAACATTGACCCCATTGTCATCATGCTTAACCCTTTGTATGATATGACGTTAAGACAGATTTCTTTGGATCCATTTTACAGGAAATTCAGAACTCAGGTCTATACAACATTGACCCTCTTGTCATCATACTTAAACCTTTATATGATATCACAGGAAGACAGATTTCTATAGATATATTATCCAGGGGATTCAGACCTAAGGACTTAGCAACATTGACCCTCTTGTCATCATATTTAACCCTTTGTATGATACGACGTTAAGACAGATTTCTTTAGATCCATTATACAGGAAATTCAGAACTCAGGACTATGCAACATTGACCTTCTTGTCATCATACTTAACCCTTTTTATAATATCACAGGAAGACAGATTTTTATAGATATATTACCCAGGGGATTCAGACCTAAGGACTTAGCAAGATTGACCCTCTTGTCATCATACTTAACTCTTTGTATGATACAACGTTAAGACAGATTTCTATAGATATATTATACAGTGGATTCAGACTTCAGGGCGTACATGTGTCACCGTTCAAGTTATCATTAGTTTTCGTATATCTGGTATGACAGGTAGACAGATTTCTATAGATCCATTATACAGTGGATTCCGACTTCAGGGCGTACATGTGTCATCGTTCCAGTCATCATTAGTTTTCCTACATCTGGTATGACAGGGAGACAGATTTCTATACATCCATTTTACAGGGGATTCAGACCTCTGGAATTACCTGTGTCACCGTTTATGTCATCAGAGGTTTTCGTATATATGGTATTACAAATAGACAGATTTGTATTGATCCATTGCTCGGCAGATTAAGACACTTTCACTTACCTGTATCATTTCTTTTGTCATCATACTTATCTCTACATCTGATATAACAGGTAAACAGATTTCTAAAGATCCATTATACAGCGGGCTAGGACCATCATTCTTTACATCATAGGTATGAACGAAATTAACTATTTCGTTCTCTGAGATAGTTAACTGATCTGGTCTTGATATTCTGTACGAAATAAAATAGTTTATAATTTGATTCAGTTAATGAAAATTATTAATCCTTAGCTCTTTTATATTGGTAGCAAGAAACCATGAGACAGAACTTTGGTGTCATATTCCACTCTATTGCTCATAAATTATTTTACTCACTGTTGACACACGATAAAAAATGAAAACAACACGTTATTCCCTTGGAGTTACGTATTTTTGTTATTTTACTTTTTATTAGCTATTTGAAAGCCGAGGATGTATAAATTGTATGCTTTCGAAGTGTTGTTCTGGAAGATTTCAAAAGAAATGGTAATCTTTTTATCAATATACGTAGCATATGTTATGTGCAATTAATGAATGAATATATTATGTAAATCAGTTTTCAGAACAGAATATGTAGATCTTACAAAATAATCCAATGATGTTGTAAGTAACAGTGTAGATATGATGTGTATTCCACCTTTGTTCAACTTTTAATCTTATTTTCATTTCCCATTTTCTGGTTCAAAATAATAAATATCCCGACCTGTTCTAATCTTAATTTTGATTTTGATTTGATAGATATAAAAAGTAGCATGTTTCAAAATATTCGGTATACGAAACAATATAATGTTTACACTGGCAGATGTATACACAAACAAAACGATATATCGTATACACTGGCGTATGTATACACAAACAAAAAATAAACTGTATACACTAGCGTATGTATACACAAACAAAAAATAAACTGTATACACTGGCGTATGTATATACAAACAAAACAATATACTGTATAAGCTGGCGTATGTATACATAAACAAAACAATTTACTGTTTAAACTGGCGTATGTATACACAAACAAAACAATATGTTGAATACACTGGTGTATACAAACACAAACAAAACAAAATGCTGTATACAATGGTGGATGTATACACAAACAAAATTTCAATTTTGAATTCTTTCGCATTATGTCAATCCAAAGCCGTTTAGTTTGTTTGCAGTATTGGTTTTGCTAATTATTGAAGGCTGTACTGAAACCTTTAATATTTCACATCTTTGTCTATTGTCCTTTGGATAGTTATGCATTAGCAATCATAACACATCATCTGATTTTCATAATATAAAAATAATTTCCTTTTACACTAGAAAATAAATACCCCTCAATGTTAAGCTAGTAATTGACCTTCCTAAGTGAAACCTGAAAAATACTGTTTTTGTGTTTTCGTGATTATTAGATGACATACCAGATATTGTCTGAGTCACGGCTGGGTTTAATTACTTACTAATTAGGACATACAATAAAATGATACGCTGTTTGAATCACGGAGTTATAAAAAATCACTTACACTTAAGATTTTCCCTCCTGACACACATGGATATGATTGAGTTGCTAATTTGTATAATCACGAACCCATTACGATAAACATCGATATACAACTTCACATTGCTTGTGTCATATTCACATCGTAAAATAATCACCTACCCATTTAGTTGTACACTGACATGTAATTTCACACTTGCAATGAGTTTCCAAGAATTGTCCGATATATCCATATCGGCACTGGTGGCTTCTACTAATGTGTTGAAGACTAGCTTCTGTTCAAAATTACCAAGATTTTCTCCATCTTTAATCAACAAGTCACGTGACACTGTAAAGCGAGCATTGAAGATGACGATTTGCTGCTGAAATAATGTATTTCTGAGATCACACTGAACATGTGTCTCATTGTTTTCGTCAGCAATGTTTCTACAGTCTACAGGCTCTGTAACTTCATTTGTCGGCTGGCTGAATCCAATATATCTGGTATTGTTAGATATATCAATATTTATCTGAGTCCCATGTGACTGATCCCCTTTGTTAGTGACTTTAACGGTAACATCTACTTCAGAAGTTACCCCTAGTATAATTTCTTGTGGATCTAATGTGGCTTCAATCCGCAGATCAGGATGACATGTTCCATTACAACCCGTTGAAAAGTTAGCCTGAAACAAAACAAATATCTTTTATAATAGTTTCTAGCTTCTTTGTTTACTAGTAACTGTTTTCCATTAATTGGTTTATATAAAAATAAGAAGATGTGGTATGAATGTCAATCGGACAACTCTCCACCAGAGACCAAATGACATAAAAGTTAACAACCATAGGTTACCGTACGGCCTTTAACAATGAGCGATACCCTTACCGCATAGTTCGCTATAAAAGGCTCCGAAATGACAAATGTTAAACATTTAAAGGGGAAAACTAATGGCCTGATTTATGTACAAACCAATGAACGAAAAACAAATATAACATACAGAAATATATGACAACCACTGAATTACAGTTTCCTGACGTGGGACGGTTACATACAGAAAAGCGCTTTGGACGCATGAAATTTATAAAATGTTGTTTTCATTTTTTACAGCACTTGGTCGATACCGCTGCTGATGGACTATCAGTCCCCGAGGGTATCATTAGCTAAGTAGTCAGTTCGTCGGTACTGACATGATTTATAACAACTTTTCTTTTGCATTTATGAATTTATAAGTATTAAAAAGTAAGGTTTCAGTGTTTCTGATGAAGTTAAATCCAGAAAAGCGCTTGGAACGCATGCATTTAACTACTTTGTCGACGCCACTTAGAGTTTCCGACGGTATTCCAATTTCAATGATGTTGTTCTGGAGTGATGTTTCTTTGATCATTTTCGTTGATATAAATTAAAAACATATCAGGAAAATAACGAACTCCAAGTTAAATTCAAAAAGGGAGAAGATTTGTGTTGTTCTGAATTAAATGCTTAATCTTTAATAACTTCTTTGGAAAATCTGACTTAGATCTGATCTGTATTTTCACAGATTGTGTCTTATTAGCGACTGTCACATGTTTAGAGAGTATGGATTGGTATGTCAGGCAATGCATGCATAGCATGAGACGCGTATCTTGTCTACGAACCCATTTCACCCCGATTTGGAACTCACGGGATTCATTCGTTTTTTTCTAGATTTGCATGAATGTTTCTTCTGAATTGATTTCACGATTTGAACATCGCTCGTCTTTATCTAGAGCAGCGAAAACTAAAGTTTAAAAATGTGCTTATTTTGTTATTGCTGCCTAAACCAGTTGTCATCTTGTTTGAAATGTTAACAATTATCTGCATCACTTGTATTTTAATCAAATCAATCCCCTACACCTACACCTATTGACATAAATTACATACAGAGTCTCTGTTGATTGTAAGAGCATTGTCCAGTATAGGTTGAACTTCTCCCAGTAGTGGTGTATCGCTAAGTCTGTACGTTGTTTCCATAACCAATTCTTCTTCAAGTGATGCAAAAAACTGTCTGTCAACTGCCTAATAGAAACAACAGTCTTTTTATTCACTAATTTTATACAACTGTAAATGTAAATGAACCTTAACAATGCAGGATAGCCTGGAATTTTCGTCCTAAACGCGTAAGGGTTGATATACACAGATCGAGTAGGATTTTAATTCGACATCGAGTTAATTAGGATTTACACACATCATCGGGTACAATAGGATATATATCAACCTGCGGGTCCACTAGGATTAATACACACCATTGGGTCCCCTAAGATTTACACACACCTCCGGATCGACTAGGATTTTCACTCATCATCGTGTCCCCATTTTCACCAATTACCGAGTTCACTATGATTTATACCCACCATTGGGTTTACTAGGATTTACACCCACGACCGGGTCCACTAGGATTTACACCAACAATCAGGGCAATTAAGATTTACACCCATTATCTCATTCACTAGGATTTACACCCACCATAAGGCCCATTAGGATTTACACCCATCATCTGGTCCACTAGGATATACACCCACCATCGGGTTCACTAAGACTAACACCCACATTGGATCCACTAGGATTCACACTCACCACCGGTTCTACTTAGATTTATACCCACCACCTGATCCACTTCAAAATAAACTTCTAAATTAAACTGTCTGTTGTACAGCAATGTTTTGACAGGGGAAATAAATGATATTGTGTTTATTTTCATGACACAATATCTTTCTATGCATTTTAATAGACAAAACCAGAAGGCAATAAAACCGGCGTATGCAATGCCGTTAATCACCCCAAAGGCATAGTTAAAAGAAGAAATGGAGTAATTAAAGTCCATAGTCGAATGAAAACAACCAATATCATGTTAAAAAATTACGAAAAACAAACATCAGTAACTAAAACATGGAAAACGAAAGATTGCGCAACAGGAACCCAAACAAAATACAGAGGTGAAATCAGATGAGAGGTTAGCTCCTACTTTACTCGTGACACTCATAAATGTACTCATTGCATGTAAGTATTGAAATCAGATGAGAAGTTAGCTCCTACTTTACTCGTGACACTCATAAATGTACTCATTGCATGTAAGTATTGAAATCAGATGAGAAGTTAGCTCATACTTTACTCGTGACACTCATTAATGTACTCATTGCATGTAAGTATTGAAATCAGATGAGAAGTTAGCTCCTACTTTACTCGTGACACTCATAAATGTACTCATTGCATGTAAGTATTGAAATCAGATGAGAAGTTATCTCATACTTTACTCGTGACACTCATAAATGTACTCATTGCATGTAAGTATTGAAATCAGATGAGAAGTTAGCTCATACTTTACTCGTGACACTCATTAATGTACTCATTGCATGTAAGTATTGAAATCAGATGAGAGGTTAGCTCCTACTTTACTCGTGACACTCATAAATGTACTCATTGCATGTAAGTATTGAAATCAGATGAGAAGTTAGCTCATACTTTACTCGTGACACTCATTAATGTACTCATTGCATGTAAGTATTGAAATCAGATGAGAAGTTAGCTCATACTTTACTCGTGACACTCATTAATGTACTCATTGCATGTAAGTATTGAAATCAGATGAGAGGTTAGCTCCTACTTTACTCGTGACACTCATAAATGTACTCATTGCATGTAAGTATTGAAATCAGATGAGAAGTTAGCTCATACTTTACTCGTGACACTCATTAATGTACTCATTGCATGTAAGTATTGAAATCAGATGAGAGGTTAGCTCCTACTTTACTCGTGACACTCATAAATGTACTCATTGCATGTAAGTATTGAAATCAGATGAGAAGTTAGCTCATACTTTACTCGTGACACTCATTAATGTACTCATTGCATGTAAGTATTGAAATCAGATGAGAAGTTAGCTCATACTTTACTCGTGACACTCATTAATGTACTCATTGCATGTAAGTATTGAAATCAGATGAGAGGTTAGCTCCTACTTTACTCGTGACACTCATAAATGTACTCATTGCATGTAAGTATTGAAATCAGATGAGAAGTTAGCTCATACTTTACTCGTGACACTCATTAATGTACTCATTGCATGTAAGTATTGAAATCAGATGAGAGGTTAGCTCCTACTTTACTCGTGACACTCATAAATGTACTCATTGCATGTAAGTATTTAAATCAGATGAGAAGTTAGCTCATACTTTACTCGTGACACTCATTAATGTACTCATTGCATGTAAGTATTGAAATCAGATGAGAGGTTAGCTCCTACTTTACTCGTGACACTCATAAATGTACTCATTGCATGTAAGTATTGAAATCAGATGAGAAGTTAGCTCATACTTTACTCGTGATACTCATAAATGTACTCATTGCATGTAAGTATTGAAATCAGATGAGAGGTTAGCTCTTACTTTACTCGTGACACTCATTAATGTAATCATTGCATGTAAGTATTGAAATCAGATGAGAGGTTAGCTCTTACTTTACTCGTGACACTCATTAATGTATTCATTGCATGTAAGTATTGAAATCGGATGAGAGGTTAGCTCTTACTTTACTCGTGACACTCATTAATGTATTCATTGCATGTAAGTATTGAAATCAGATGAGAGGTTAGCTCCTACTTTACTCGTGACACTCATTAATGTACTCATTGCATGTCAATATTCGCTGATACATTTGTTGGTTTTACTATCAAGAACAAAAACGAAATTAGTATTCAGACAAATGTAATTTATCTTGGTTCAAGTGTTGCACTGATATTTCAAATCGGTCACTTGATTCATGCTGATGTCCGTAGAGATTACTTCAACTTTAGTAAGGTGGTCACAAAGGAGCCAATGATCACAACTCAACGAAGTTTAAAACGGTCTCTAACACATGTTTGATAGAAAATGTTCAATATGTGACATACAAATCAAATCTGCAGTGTATTATAAGCAATTAATAAATCATATTCCGCCAAAAAAATCGAAAACTACCATAAGAAGCCTAAATCTCAGCACAAATACAGAAATAAAACCAATACTTGCATTGCGACAACTACGGAGGTACATCAAGAAATGATTTTTTGGCAGGATATAATTTATGAATACATCAAATAACATAGATAGAATATCATAAAAAAGATCATCTTCAAGCTGGTCGCTGGGTTATGAATCTTATCTTTATTGAAATAAATTCAGTGAGGAGTGGAATAGCTTTCAAAAGTCTAAACAGTTCTTATAAAGTAACCTCGGAAATGTGAAGCGTATCTCTGAATTTTTCTAACAATGTGCCACATGTTGAGCAGGATCTGCTTTTCCTTCCGGAGCACGTGATATCACCCCAAGTTTTTTGTGGGGTTCGTGTTGTTCGGTCTTTAGTTTTCTATGTTGTGTGTTGTGTACTGTTGTTTGTCTTTTTCTTTTTTAGCCATGGCGTTGTCAGTTTATTTTCGACTTGTGAGTTTGAATGTCACTATGGTGTCTTTTGCCTCTGTTTTTCTACCAAATTGATAAAGGTTTTCTTGAACTTTGCTGGCCTCATGTCAAGTAATATAGATGACCAGTAAAGTTGTATGAATCAAATGGTAACTACGTGTGTCCCCGAATGAGCAAAAACGAAATTACCTCAAGGAATGTGTAACGAACACAGCCTGAATAGTGTAAATCAAAATAACTACAGAAACGTGGATCGAGTGTAACCGGTTTTTCTTTCAGATTTGAAAGAAACATTTCATAGTTAATTTTCTAGACTAAATCATGATTTTCTTTAAAAACGAAAGAAATGATTTTGTGTTGTTCGTCTACTTAAGTGTTTCATTTAGCCCATTTTGTTATATGTTTAACTATGCAAACATTATTGTAGCTACGGTCTGTATATGTTGTCGTATATACAAATTAACATTTTCTTCCTTTAATTCAATCTATAAAGAATATAAAACATGCTAGTGCCGGTGGGTCTAGAGGTAAGATTCAAGTTGAAAACAAATTGGCAACGCCATGGCACAAAACGAAAAACGACGAATGGACTACTAGCAATATATAAAACACATAAAACATAAAAAATTAAAAACTGAGCACAACAATAACCCCACTCAATACCTGGGGTGATCTCAGTATATTTCATTACGTTTTATTATACGGTTTAAACTATCAGCTACCAACATTTTTTTTCTGCTAGCATCTTTATCAGATTTATTTGTTTGTTTAAATTAACAATTCAGGTAGTTTTAATGTCCCTTTTATATCTTTCGCCTCACTTATTTAGAATAGAGAATAGAAACACGGGAAATGGTCAAAGAGACAACAACTCGTCCAAAGAACAGAAAACAGCCCAAGGCCACCAATGGGTATTCAATGCAGCTCGAAAATCCCGCACCCGGAGGCGGGCTTAAGCTGCCCCTAAACATTAATGTATACTAGTTCAGAAAAATGGACGCCACACTATACATACAAATGAACCAAAATTTAAAATACACACAAGACTATCAAAAACTAGAGGTTCCTGACCTGGGATAGGTGCAAAATTGCGGCTATATGTTTTGTGAGATCTCACCCCTCCACCTATACCTCTTGTCAATGTGGAATATAAAAAAACATAACAAAATGCACACTAAAACTCAGTTTAAAAGTAGTCCCGGTCCGATGTTAGAATAGGTATGTCTGTAATGTATGTTCAAACAGTTTGGTTGCTGAATCCATCACGTTATTATCACGTAAAGCAATAACGTCTGTTTGGATTTCTCATTTAATTTTATTTTTAATATAATGGGACTTTAAACAAGTGGGATGTCTAACACCAAATAAAACCAGGTTTAACCCACCATTTTCATCGGAAAGTTCCTACATCAAGTCAGGAATATGACAGTTGTTTTCCATTCGTTCCGTTGGCTGGTAAAGTCGAGAATTTGATTGAATCCTACATTTTTGAGTTTACTTTGGCGTTCGGTATTTTTGTCAATGCTTTTTTATTCCTGGTTATGACATTTTGACTGAGTGTGAATTTGCAAAATTTTCAAAATTAAAATCGTCTCGTCTGTAATAGATTCTGGTACTGAGATGACTGTGTATGTCAATCATCATATTGTATCATGGAGAAAACTTTATAAGTATGACTTACTTGTGTCTTATCTATTCTTTTTTTTATCATTTTACTAAAATTAAGCCAATGAAAAAGGTTTAAAATAAACAATCTTCTTAATTTGAATTAAGATTATTCGATTTGCATTCATTTTTCAGACATACCTGGGGAGAATTATCTTTTCTTATTCCATCTTCAAGTTTTGAACAGAGGAGAAAGATACCAAGATTCTAAACTCATAAGAGGATGAAACACTGACGACGCCTTGTCAATAAATAAAAGAACGACCAAAAGACGAACAAATTAACAAAACACTACATAGAAAACTGAAGATTGAGCAACCATTCCACAACCCAAATAAACCAGGGGTCTGGCAGGGCTGCTCATGCAAGTATTCATAATGTGATCAACCAATCATTTGGTGGTGTCACAATCGCGAAAGCAGCTTACCTTTCCGGAGCACCAGATCAATCTTAACTTTATGTAATCTTTTTGATATTGCCATGATTAAATTTGGTTTCATTTACTTCCTTTCTGTAAAAATAAAGAGTTTCACAAACCATCACAATAGCGTAGTACTCCGTACATGATTCTGACAATTTTCTAACTTGAAATCTTTTTCCTTCTAAGTTACCACTTCCAAACTCTTCTGTTTCTGATGAAAGATGAACCCGAGTTGGTTTACTTGGTGTTGACAAAGTTCTTCGAATATCCGAGCTTAGATTATAATCAACCACTAGGAATTAAAAATGCAAAGAAGACATTTGATTAAAAAAACTCCATGCTGTATCAATGGGTAAAGATGTTAAATTGTTATCATTTGTGCATTAGTACATTCATTATTATACGATTTGTTTTAATCAAAAGCTGGTGTAAGTAAATCTGTGAAATTTATAAAGCTGACAATACCATGTGCTAATGAATAAGACGAAAAGGCAACAATAGCCTATAAAACTAAATATTGAACAACACGAGTCACATCAAAAACCAGGGGTTAGGTGGCATTCTGTAATCCTTTTCAATTCGTTTGTAACTATTTTCATCATTAGCATTAATAGATAGTCTAAAGGTAAACTTTTAATACTCACAAATTGAATCTGGAACTGAATCTCCAGAGTAGGAAAAGCACAGTCTAACAGTCACACATGGTTTGTATAATTTGTCTCGACATTTCAGTTCAGAAGAGTTCAGAGGTATATCAGATGGAAAAACTTCAATGGTGTTATTAAGCTTTATAATAGGTCTGCCTCTTAATACATTTACAGTATTAGACATGTAGGATCCAACTAGAATATCTAAAAACATTAAATATATTATAAACTACTGTCTTCCACACAAACACAACTGACCATGAGGACTTCATAGTGGTAACATCAGACATTTTTAAAGATAAGTTTACCTTATGAGACTGCTGACAAATAATTTGGTTTATGTTATTTGTACTCCTCTTGAAAAGTCCCTTTTGTAGGCAAATAAAACATGGTAAGGGGTTCTTCATTCTTGTCTTCGAAGGTCTTTTGATCAACCGCCCAGAAAAATAGATGAACAATTTTGAAAAGATAAAATGGTCATTTCAACCTCTTGAGCCTCAAATGCAATAATTTTCCTCTTAGACAAAATAAAAAATATATATGAATGATGTATATTTACTCACATGCATTTCGGGTTATTCATCAAATTATATTGTAACACTATTACAGAAATACTCTCAGAATTCTGTAGCAAACCAAATTTTTCCTTGAAGTGTCCTTAATTGTCTCAAGCACATACAATATTTGTTCAGTACAATTGGAATTCTACGCTGGCTTACTGTAGAACTGGGTATGTAATTGAATATCGCAAACAGGAACAAGAAGAACTGAACGAATAATTCTACTAACTCTGATAAACTGACAAAAAATAAGAAAAACAAGAAAAATGTTTGTCTTTTCTCTCAAAACAACTGCCGTCAAGACACTTAACAAGTATTTTTGCAATCCTTATACAGATTACAGTATAATATATCTTTATAGAAATAAGGAGATATGATATGACTGCTAATGAAACAATAATATATAAAAAAAATCAAAAGCCAATGATACTAACAATAACATGTTATCCCAAGGTCAATGGGCTTCAACATTGAGCAATATCTATCACATATAGTAAGTAACACATGTCCAGGGAGGACAAAGTTTGAAACTATTCAAAATAGAAAAACTAACTGTCTGATTAAAACTACAACAACAAACAGAAACTAACAACAACCATTGGCTCCAGGCTTGGGACATTTACAAAACGAATGTTGTGGGGTTTAACACGTCTGTGAATGGTCAGACCTCTTATTACCCCGGGACATTGATGAAATAAAAAAATCATCAGAGAAAACGGTAAAATCACTTTGAAAAGACTTATCCCATCAAACCGGTACTTTCCTACGCACACAAAACAAATAACAAAAACACAATAGACAACAGACATAAATTACCGATATGACTACAACTGTTATATTCCAATATATATCAAATTTCGGTAAAACAAAAGTATCTCCTGAATGCAGGATCATAATTGTTTTTCTCTAATTCTTAGCAGATTGATCCTTTTCCTGACTGGTTAATCATTTTTATTTAATCAACGTGTGGTTTAATCCACCATTTTCTAGATAAGGAAATGCCTGTACCAAGTCAGGAATATGACAGTTGTTTTCCATTCGTTTTGATGTGTTTGAGCTTTTGATTTTGCCATTTGATAAAGGACTTTCCGTTTTGAATTTCCTTGGAGTTCGGTATTTTTGTTATTTTACTTTAGTAGTAATGAATAACTATGAATAAATAATAATGATTAAATTAATGATGGAAACATCTTACTTTATTACCTTGGTAATTGTTATTGTCGATGTCATAAGCAGTAGAAATGTACCAACCAAACGACAGTAGGTTACTACTTATATCTTGAGCTTTAATTTTCTGTGTGAATGTTAGTTTGGTATAACCACCGTGGTAGATATAAATAGCTCCTTTATTGCTCTCCTCATATGGTGCACCAATGGCTACATCTGTGTAAAGATAATATTTTAAATTGTTTAGAAATGAACATAGTGGATGCTACTTTTTGTTTAAATACATGTATTGCATGTCCCTTTTGTATCAATATATTACAATTTCGCATCAACACATTCCGTGTTAAGGACAAAATGCATCAGAAAAGTTCAAACATGAACTACGATACGATGTGTCAGTATCTCATCCAACAAAAGACATAATGTCTAAGTTCTTAAGATACCAGAATCGTCATCTAATCTTTTGGTGTGGCTTAGCATGTCGTTTGATGTATGTATAACAAGAGACAATTACATTTACATATTATTAAGATTCTTAAGTCCTAACTCCTTCAGGCAAATACCTCCTTATTTGTATCTGAGATATACTGCAGTCCTAACCAACCCGTCCCCATTCTGATATACGTATTCTCATATCCATCTTTATTTATGTCTCCTTTGCACTGCAGTGCGGTACTAAACTGTCCCAATTATAACTTAAGTTCCCATATATTTATCCTTGTATATATCTCTGATACTCTGCATTTCTGTGATAAACCGTCCCAATTCTGACTTACGTACCCTTATATTTATCCTTGTTTATATCTCTGATACTCTGCAGTGCTGTATTAAACCGTCCCAATTCTGACTTACATACCCTTATATTTGTCCTTGTTTATATATCTGCAGTGCAGTACCAAATAGCTCACATTTCAAAATACGCACCCTCATATTCATTTTTATCTGTATCAGCGCTTCACGCATACGTACCCTTATATCCATCTTTATTTATATCTCCTATACACTGCAATGCTGTACCAAATCGTCCCCATTTCGACATTCCTTGTAATTTTTGTCCACTCACACTGAGTAGTTTGTCTTTCTGTTCATATATAAAGAAATATCATCCATAGATTTAGACTATATTTGTTGAATACAAAAATGGACGGTTTCCAATACGGGGTCACTTAGGGGTTACTCCCTGCCAAATATCATTAATTACATAATATGAGAAGATAGAAAAAGTATTATGTTGGAATACAATATGCTTATAATCTATTGCTTATTTCATTTTGGATTAAAAAAACACAAGATATCATTATTTACGTTTTCTGGGATGGATGGCTTGTATATAATTCGAAGTCAGTAAATATAATTTTAGTTGAAAATGTTTTAAAATGCTTTGGTGTGAAACACGTTTTTGGAATATTTGTTATTCCAAAGTTTTCCAACAACGAAACTGATCTGGTCTCCCAATTGCTTTAATGATTATATTTTACAACAATATTGAAGATGCCACCACCGATGGACGTTTCATTCCCATGTGTTAAGAACTCAAAAGTCAGCGCTGCTGTACTGATATGAAATATCATTGATGCAGTGTGTGTGTAAATTTATTGTTAAAACAATGATACGATCTTTCCAAACTTTAAATCTACTTACATCTGTGTCCCCATAGTATATGTAGACAACGCCTGAATCTAGTACATCACTATATTGAAGAGGTGCTCCGATAAGTAAATCATCTAATCCATCACCATTAATATCTTCAAAGGCAATAGAACTACCAAATCCACTTCCAGACTGGAACAAAAAATGCATAATATAGTAGAGCATGTAGGCAGGTTACTGTGAGTTCATTTATTTTTGTGGGTAAAGGAGAAATTAAATGATTTCGTGGTTTTAAACAAGTTTGCATAAGCCTATAAAAAAATGTACTTCGTTAAACTAATAATTCGTAGTTCACAAGCATCCACAAAATCCACATAAATCGGTATAGCATGACCAATAATAAATGCAAGGTAATATAATCGGCCACTGTTTTGGTAGGGTTTGTATTTTTCACTGATCTGATAACTCAGGCCCTTTCCATCCGATTTTTACAGTATTTTCTAATGCTGTCTTGTTGCACCACTGTCACAGACAGCTGGTGGTAGTTTAAGAAAACCTGTTGAATCCCACAGCATTTATTTTGAGCATTTTTTAAGCCGGTTGCATATGAACCAGTGATTATCTGATGGCTGACATAATTAGTTTTTTTTGTATTTAAAAGAAAGGTGAAAGATATCAAAGGGATATTCAAACTCAAAAGTCGAAAAGAAACTGATAATGGCATGACAAAAAACGAAAAACGAAAAGTCAAATAACAGTACACAAAACACAACATAGAAAACAAAACACTGAAAAACAATAACCCCACCAAAAACTGGGGGTGATTTCAGGTGCTCCAGAAATGTAAGTAGATACTGCTCCAAATGTGGAACCCGTCGATTTGCTTATGTAATATAAATAAGAAGATGTGGCATGAGTGCCAATGAGACAACTCTACATCCAAGTCACAATGTATAAAAAGAAAACAATTATAGGTTAAAGTACGGATTTCAACACGGAGCCTTGGCTCACACCGAACAGCAAGCTATAAAGGGCCCCAAAATGACTAGTGTAAAACAGTTCAAACAGGAAAACCAACGGTCTAATCTATATAAAAAACGAGATACGAGAAACACCTATGAACCAAACCGACAAACGACAACCACTGAACAACAGTCTCCTGACAGTTAGTTAGTACAAGCCCGGTAATTATCTAGTATACGGTGAAACTGTTATTTTGCAAATTTTTGTCTTTGCTCTCTGATGGAAATTGGACTACAGTCCGATCCGTCTTACATCTTTAGAAACCAGAAATAGTTGTATAATCTGGAATTTTACCAATTGTGTTCTTTTCCCGATTGTGACATTTTAACTGAGAGTGGATTCGCATCCAGTCAATGCATGTATAGCAGGAGATGTCTACCCTTTCGACGCACCCGATCTCGCTCCTTTTAGGGTTCGTGAGATTTCCCCAGTATGTGTGTATATGACTTTAGTCGATTTATGAGATTTGAACAAGTACTGTTGCCTTGATTTGGCTGTTTTCTTCGACCGTGTTGCTTTTGGTTGCTTCCTTAGTAACTCCTCCCCCTTTTTCAGTGATGCGGTCAAGGGAAAATATGTGCATTCATAAAAGTAGATGATAAATGAATCAACTGCACTAAGGACAAAAGCAAACTCCCGGGACTATATACGAATGAAATATTTCGAAAGCAAACTCAAAATCAAGGGGACTTTACATTAACAAACATGTTGAAATGTCAACTCAAAATCAATGAGACGATAGAGAGTCAAATCAAGTGGCTTAACATGAACGAGACAGTTCACACGCGAACTCAAAATCCAGTGGCTTAAACATAAACATGAACGAGATAATTCACACACACACTCGAAATCCAGTGGCTAATACATGACCAAGACAGTTTACACGCAAACTCAAAATTCAGTGCCTTATACATGAACGATACAATTCACACATAAACTCAAAATCCAGTGGCTAATACATGAACGAGACAGTTCACACGCGAACTCAAAATCCAGTGGCTTAAACATAAACATAAACGAGACAATTCACACACACACTCGAAATCCATTGGCTAATACATGACTAATACAGTTTACACGCAAACTCAAAATTCAGTGCCTTATACATGAACGATACAATTCACACATAAACTCAAAATCCAGTGGCTAATACATGAACGAGACAGTTCACACGCAAACTTAAAATCCAGTGACTAATACATGAAGGATACAGTTCAAACGCAAATTCAAAATCCAGTGGCTAATACATAAACGAGATAGATCACACGAAAACTCAAAATCAAGTGGCTAATTCATGAACGAGACAGTTAACACGAAACCTCAAAATCCAGTGGCTAATACATGAACGAGACAGTTCAAACGCAAACTCAAAATCCAGTGCCTAATACATGAACGAGACACTTTACACGAAAACTCAAAATCCAGTGGCTCACATATGAACGAGACAGATCACACAAAAACTCAAAATCCAGTGGCTAATACATGAACGAGACAGTTTACACGAAACCTCAAAATCCAGTGGCTAATACATGTAAGAGACAGTTCAAACGCAAACTCAAAATCCAGTGGCTAATACATGAACGACACATAATACACGCAAACTCAAAATTCAGTGACTTATACATGAACGATACAATTCACACACAAACTCAAAATCCAGTGGTATATACATGAACGAGACACTTTACACGCAAACTCAAAATTCAGTGCCTTATACATGACCGATTCAATTCACACATAAACTCAAAATCCAGTGGCTAATACATGAACGAGACAGTTCACACGCGAACTCAAAATCCAGTGGCTTAAACATAAACATAAACGAGACAATTCACACACACACTCAAAATCCATTGGCTAATACATGACTAATACAATTTACACGCAAACTCAAAATTCAGTGCCTTATACATAAACGATACAATTCACACATAAACTCAAAATCCTGTGGCTAATACATGAACGATACAGTTCACACACAAACTTAAAATCCAGTGACTAATACATGACAGATACAGTTCAAACGCAAACTCAAAATCCAGTGGCCAATACATAAACGAGACAGATCACACGAAAACTCAAAATCCAGTGGCTAATACATGAACGAGACAGTTAACACGAAACCTCAAAATCAAGTGGCTAATACAAGAACGAGACAGTTCAAACGCAAACTCAAAATCCAGTGGCTAATACATGAACGAGACACTTTACACGAAAACTCAAAATCCAGTGGCTAATACATGAACGAGACAGTTTACACGAAACCCCAAAATCCAGTGGCTAATACATGGAAGAGACAGTTCAAACGCAAACTCAAAATTCAGTGACTTATACATGAACGATACATTTCACACACAAACTCAAAATCCAGTGGTGTATACATGAACGAGACACTTTACACGCAAACTCAAAATCCAGTGGCTTAAACATGAACGAGACAGTTTACACGAAAACTCATAAACCAGTGGCTAATATATGAACGAGACAGATCACACGAAACCCCAAAATCCAGTGGCTATTACATGGAAGAGACAGTTCAAACGCAAACTCAAAATCCAGTGGCTAATACATGAACGACACATTTTACACGCAAACTCAAAATTCAGTGACTTATACATGAACGATACATTTCACACACAAACTCAAAATCCAGTGGTGTATACATGAACGAGACACTTTACACGCAAACTCAAATTCCAGTGGCTTAAACATGAACGAGACAGTTTACACGAAAACTCATAAACCAGTGGCTAATATATGAACGAGACAGATCACACGAAACCCCAAAATCCAGTGGCTATTACATGGAAGAGACAGTTCAAACGCAAACTCAAAATCCAGTGGCTAATACATGAACGACACATTTTACACACAAACTCAAAATTCAGTGACTTATACATGAACGATACATTTCACACACAAACTCAAAATCCAGTGGTGTATACATGGACGAGACACTTTACACGCAAACTCAAAATCCAGTGGCTTAAACATAAACGAGACAGTTTACACAAAAACTCAAAAACCAGTGGCTAAAACATGAAGGAGGCAGTCCACACACAAACTCAAAATCCAGTGGCTAATACATGAAAGAGACAGTTCAAACGCAAACTCATAATCCAGTAGCTAATACATGAACGAGACAGTTTACACGAAAACTCAAAATCCAGTGGCTAATACATGAAGGAGACAGTTTACACGAAAACTCAAAAACCAGTGGCTAATACTTGAACGACTTAGTTCACATGAAAACTCAAAATCTAGTGGCTTTTACCTGAACGACACAGTTCACACACAAACTCTAAATCTAGTGGCTCATACCTGAACGACAGAGTTCACACACACACTTAAAATCTTGTGGCTTATACATGAACGACACATTTCATACACAAACTCACAATCCAGTGGCTTATACCTGAACGACAATGTTCACACGAAAACTCAAAATCCAGTGGCTTATACATGAACGACAAATTTCAAATACAAATTTGAAATCCAGTGGCTTATACATCAACGACACAGTTCACACGAAAACTCAAAATCATGTGGCTTACATGTATACCTGAACGACACAGTTGACACACAAACTAAAAATCTAGTAGTTTTTACATGAACAATACAGCTCACACGCAAACTCAAATTCTAGTGGTTTATACATGAACGACACAGTTCACACGAAAACTCAAAATCCAGTGGCATATTCATGAACGACTAAGTTCACACGAAAACTTAAAATATAGTGGCTTATACATGAACGACACAGTTCACACAAAAACTCAAAACCAGTGGAATATATATGACGGAGATTGTCTAAAAACAATGCGATAGATGTGCGAATCTACATTAAATACTATTTTGGTATACAGTGCCACAGTATGAATCAGATTCATTGAATTCTACTTTACAAAGTGTTTAAAACAAATATTACCTTTAGATTCCGCAGTACATAGTTTATAAACCAAAGAGTTCTATTCAATATTGTACATAGTGTGCTTATCAAATATGACCATTAAATGCGTCAGTGCATCATGTATAAACTCAATAGTACATTTTAATTCTACTTTACATAGTAGATATAAGAAGATGTGGTATGAGTGCCAATGAGACAAATCTCCATCCAAGTCAAAATTTATAAAAGTAAACCATTATAGGTCAAAGTACAGTCTTCAACACGGAGCATTGGCTCACACCGAACAGCAAGCTATAAAGGGCCCCAAAAATTACTAGTGTAAAACCATTTAAACGGGAAAACTAACGGTCTAATCTATATAAAACGAGAAACGAGAAACACATATGAACTACATAAACAGTCGACAACTACTGTACATCAGACTCCTGACTTAGGACAGGTGCAAACATTTGCAGCGGATTTAAACGTTTTAATGGTACCAAACGTTCTCCCTTTTCTGAAACAATACTATAACATCACAACATAGAAAGACACACTATAAAATATCAATTGGAAGGCTGAACTCAATCAAAAAACGTAAATTAACACACAATGAAAGATAGTGTATGAATGTAGTACCATTCAATTCTACTGAATAGTGTATAAACAAAATTGTACCTTGCATTATACTGTACATATTGTATACACTAAAAGGTACCATTAAATTCTACTTATATATTGAATAAACCAAATAGTACCTTTTCACCTGTAAACTGTTTCTTCAAATGTAACTTCTTGTCGGTCAGTTTTAAACAAAAAACAAAAACCTATAAAAAACACATTCACTTGATGTCAAGATTGCATGAAAACAGATATTGATATAAATAATATAAAGTATGAAATATCTTAATTGTATACATACAGTCGAGTGATTATTGTTTCTTTTGAAGTGCAATTAAAGTCATTAATACAAGATTGTCTTTTATAGCTTACTGTACGTTAAAGGTTTTGCTTATTGTTTATAGTAACTGTTGCTGACATCTACGTCCATTTTTATAACTACAGGTATAAAACCTTTGATCACAATCATTACAATTTTGAAGCAATATTTGAAATTTTGATATATTTACGATCCACACTGCGGTTGCACATGCTAAATTGAAAGATAGACTACATTAAACAGTATTTTTTTTACAAAAAAGGGGAACCGTAGATTCCTTATTTTATGTCCTTAAAAATCTGACTTTGTGAAGACCCTCACAGACTCAAACAAATAATACACCGAAGACGATATCATCAAAATTCTTAACCATTTTATCCACAATTTATTTGTTTAGTTAGGTTAATTAATATTCAGCGGACAGCCGGTATTTCAAACGATACTTTTTGTGCAACCTACTTGTTGAATTTATTTTTTTGTAATCATTTTAAACAGACCTAATGCAAAAATTTCTCAAAGACAAAACGAAAAAGCGTCTTGCCAAATTCATTGATATCACTTTCAGATATTTTGATGATATTCTGTCACTCAATAACCCTTATTATGCATCAGTATGTATTTTCTATATCATATCAAATACGAATAAAATCACTATTTTCCCTAGGGAAATTGTTTCAATTACTATTTTCCCTAGGGATAATAGTTCACCGGAAGCAAACGTATTTCCGCACTTTTTCATTTTTCGGGTGTTTCTAGTTTTGACGTTAAGTAACTTCGATATTCGAGATTTACAAATACCGTTTTATCAGACGCCAAAGCTGATATACTTTTGTATCTCTTTGAATAGGATTAATACTTTTTGTTTGATAGTTCGATATAATAAAACAGTTATTTCGGGATATAGCCATTTTTTCCCTCGACACGAACTTAAAAACAAAAAAATAGCCAGTGTCTCATTATAAAATAAAATGGCTATATCCCTCAATACTGTTAAATAACTGTATTATATATCAATGCGTGCTTTCAAATTATTAAAATTATAATGATACTTCCTAAACCAGAAGGTCTGATTGATATATGGATCTTTTTGATGATTTCAACTTTCCAAAAGTCAACTTCCCATTGATACGTTACGATCGTGCATGTTCATATCAAGACGCAAAAATGCGCAAACATAGTTATGAAGAAGAACCACTGAAATCAACATTAAAAACGGTCACCATCATGAATTAGTTGACTGATAAAATGTTTTCGTGTCTCAATTTACTAGCGACATGTGTTCGTAGTCTTAGGTCTTTAGAACTGTCGTCTGATCTGTGAATTTACCGATTAAGACAATTTTCTGAGAGTGGATTCGCATTGGGGTTGATGCTAGCATATAAGTAGCTGGAGACGCTTAACCTGTGGACGCACTCGGTCTCGCTCCTATTTCTGATTCTTTTCCGATTTGTATCTTTTAATGGATTTATACTATTCAAATTAGTTCCTTACAGTAATTTACTAATAAACGAATAAAATAGTGTTGAACACTAACGAAATCAGTTGAATGGGCCTGCAAAACATTGGATGAAAACGAAGGGACTTTTCTTGATAATCAGATCGTAAAGATAAAGAATGAAAACAACTTACTGCCCCTACTATTCCATTTTCCCATATAGAGTGTGGGGAACCTAATACAATAACTCTTGGGCAATCTGCATCAGATTCTGAATCTGAAAGCTGTCCTGTGCTCACAGAGTAACCTGGTATAGAAAGAGAAATCTTTATAATATTTTCACACTAGGACAGTCTAAATACTGCAGTGTTGATTGTATAACCTGGTATAAAATAAGAAATCTTTGTTATGTTTTCACACTAGGACAGTGTTGATTGTATAACCTGGTATAAAATAAGAAATCTTTGTTATGTTTTCACACTAGGACAGTGTTGATTGTATAACCTGGTATAAAATAAGAAATCTTTGTTATGTTTTCACACTAGGACAGTGTTGATTGTATAACCTGGTATAAAATAAGAAATCTTTGTTATATTTTCACACTAGGATAGTGTTGATTGTATAACCTGGTATAAAATAAGAAATCTTTGTTATGTTTTCACACTAGGACAGTGTTGATTGTATAACCTGGTATAAAATAAGAAATCTTTGTTATGTTTTCACACTAGGACAGTGTTGATTGTATAACCTGGTATAAAATAAGAAATCTTTGTTATGTTTTCACACTAGGACAGTGTTGTTTGTATAACCTGGTATAAAATAAGAAATCTTTGTTATGTTTTCACACTAGGATAGTGTTGATTGTATAACCTGGTATAAAATAAGAAATCTTTGTTATGTTTTCACACTAGGATAGTTAAAAAATCATTGTTGTTTGTATACACTATTTTTTATATTATTTCTTTTATCATTTTTCCGAATGAAGCATGCAAAACTACATAATACCTTAGTAGGTACTATGTATAAAAATTACGTAACTTTTGTAAAATTGATCAAGTTATGAGAATATAAGAAAAGAAAAGATATTACAATTAATTTGGCTAATTAAAAGCTGCTTCTAACAATTGCCACTTCTGATTTATTCGGGGGTCTCGGTGGTCGAGTGGTTTAAGTAGTCGAACTACTGTATCACTAGCCCACGGCTGTCATTTGGTATATCGAGAAAAATGATCGTGAAAGAAAAGAAACGGTGGTCAAGTATTGCGATTGGATCGTGAAAGATCTGGTATAGGATCGTGAATGAATTCTTATCGTGAAGACACAAGTAACGTCAATAAATAATCGAATCTAATTAATTATAATGACAAATATTGGAAAAATAAAACTGTCTGTCAAAATGGTTCAACATTGTGATCAGTTTCTGAGAAAAATCAAGTTTCAAAAGTACACCATTTTTACTAAACTACAAAAGGCAAATTGCTCCTCGAAATTTGAAAGAAATAAAAATATAAACAAACATGATTTTTATTTCATATTTTGAATTTATGAACTACTTTTCTCTTAAAAATATCGTTCTATATTACTGTTTAAAATGTGTTCTTAAAATTATTTTGTTTTAGATTATCAAAAACTTTGCACAAATGAAAATAAATGTAAATATTTGATATTTCGGATCGTGAAAGATCTGGTACCGCTTTTTGATGATCGTGAAAAGGATCGTGAAAGATCTGTTGACGCTTAGCTAGCTATAAAACCAGGTTTAATTCACCATTTTCTACATAAGAAAATGCCTGTACCAAGTCAGGAATATGACAGTTGTTATCTATTCGTTTGATGTGTTTGAGCTTTTGATTTTGCCATTTGATTAGGGACTTTCCGTTTTGAATTTTCCTCGGAGTTCGGTATTTTTGTTATTTTACTTTTTATTCGTTATGGCAAAAATCCACGAAAACGATCAAATCATTTTTTAAAGGGTTTACATGATATTTTATATTAGTAATTGGTATAGCAAAAGATTGGATTTGCATGACTTATTTTGCTTCACTTTCGTTTGTGAATAGGGCTATGTCTTATTGTCATGATTTTTTTATTACTTGCTATTGGCTTTAAGATAGCTGTCAATAACTGCGAATACTCTCAGATCTGTGCTTTGTGTCTTTTTTGGTCGTTAGAGATGTATAAATACACTACCACGTCCAGTCTGTGTTTTTGTTAAATGTTTTTCTGCTTTGTGTCGATCTGATGAGTTAAGCCCTTTTCAACTGATTTTTATAGTTTGTTCTTATGGTGTACTGATACATCACTGTTCCAGGTTAGGGGAGGGTTGGCGCTTTCAGACATGTTTATCCCCGTCACATTCTTTGTGTACCTGCCCCAAGTCAGGAGCCCGTAGTTCAGTGGTTTTCGTTGGTTCATGTCTGTCAAGTTGTTTTTCGTAAATTGTCTTTTTTTATAAATTAAGCCGTTAGTTTTCTCAAGTGAATTGTTTCATATTTTTCATGTCGGGTCCCTTTTATAGCCGACTATATGATATGGGTTTTTCTCATTGTTGAAGGCCTATAATTGCTTCCATCCACTTCACTTGAACTTTGGTGAAAGCTGTCTCATTGAAATTCTACACAGAGTCAGCCCTTAGAATCTATTACTCACGACCATCTTGTATTATTTGTTAAGTAGACACTGAATATTTATCTATTAGGTCTTGGTACTTTCCAAAGAACCTTTTGAGAAACAGGACGAGACGTTCGTTCACAAAACCCTGGCTTATTAATCTTTTGCTCAGATACTGATGACGTTTCTTTTCTATCTCAGGAATAGATTACCTTAGCTGTATTTAGCAAAACTTTTAGTAATCTTTGGTCCTCAATGCTCTTCAACTTCGTACTTTATTTGGCCTTTTTAGCTTTTTTTTTATTCGAGCGTCACTGATGAGTCTTTTGTAGACAAAACGCGCGTCTGGCGCAAATACAAAATTTCAATCCTGGTATCTATGATGAGTTTTTTTTACATATTCTGAGTAGCAGATGCAAGCTCCTGAATATCGTATGAGTTGAGAAATGTATAATCCATACGCGGATGAAGTTGGTAAATTGCTGCTAAAGTGAGGAAAATTTATAAATTCAAAATTGAGATTATTTCGTTTGTCATAGACTCGGGTATTGAGATGACCGCTGTAATCAAATTCGGGGTGTATATGTCTAAATAATGAGACTGAGGGAAGCTGTTTTTGTGGTGTCTGTAATTAATCTCTAGTTCAGGACTATTACTGAGACTCAATCAGAAAAGTTTGTATTGTTAATAGAAAAAATATCTTCAATAGACTTGTATGTTAAATTAAATGATATAGCTTCTTTGATCAAACAAAAACGTACACATTAATAAGAGGGGATGACCACTAGACCCCCTCTCGCTTCACTCATTTGTGGATACATTTTACATTATAGATACAAAGATATTTAATTTCCGACAATTTACGCTCTTGGGGGTCTTATTATCTTGGATACCTAGTTAGCATTGCCTCTTAAATGAAAAGAGGTCTACATATGGGTCTATATGTATATCTAATATATATATATATCACAAAAAAAAAGAGAAGAACGCATTAATTCTATGTAAGTAATCACACGCTTCAACCAATTACAAGTATATCAATTGGTAAAAGAAATGTTGTTTTCTGATCTTTAAGCCTGGTCACGCCTTGTCTTTCACGATCAAAATAATGCGTTGTCTCATCTTTCACGATCAATCTTAATTAAAAAAACAACAAAATTATGAATATGAACTTTTTCAAATTATAATATACTTTAATTTACTGAACTATCTAACACACAAAAGATTTAGTTTCAAATATATCACGATATTTTGGAATGTGACCATTATAGATACAAAACTTGATCTTTCTTAATGATTCTTATAGGATCGTGTGTCGCCTTTTGTGTTTCTTTAAAAGTACAACACTAAAACGTAGTGCATAGTAATAATAAGGAAGTTGAATTATTTTGCCAGACATATTTCTTATTTTCTGATTTGTTCCGCCTTTTGAAAATAGAGCAGATTTTTTCACATATTTTGAAGTAGAATTACACTTAATTGCATTCACGATCCGATACCAGATCTTTCACGATCCGATCGCAATGCTTGACCACCGTTAGTTATTCTTTCACGATCATTTTTCTCGATATACCGAAGGACACCCGTGTAGCCTGTCAACACTGAAATTGTGAGTTCGAATCCCGCAGGTGGCAGGTGCGCTCGACTCCAATCTTAATTGACTAGGATTGTCAGTTTTCCTACGGAAGGTCGGTGATTCTCTCCGGGCACTCCGGCTTCCTCCACCAGTACAAACTGACCGCCACGAAATAGCGCAATAGTGCTGAAAGTGGCGTTAAACACCAATCAATCAATCAATTAACTGATGCATTCTAATTTTTTGTGTAGGGTTAAGAAACTTACAAAGTATTTTTCGACACTTATCCATAATTTCAAATATTCTATCCCCGATATTTTTTGGGTAATATGTATCTACATTTGTATATATAGTATTCAAATAGAAACAAGATATTATTTACTATTTACCAATAATTCGTACACAACAAAAAAATACTTCTTGTGTGCTAAAAGGCAACACACTGTCATAATACTCAGTCTATCATGGATATCAAACATTACATTCCCAAAAGATATGAAAAGCTATTTAGCATTGGACTAATAATACCATAACACTCCACAAAATTGGTATTGATATTATACTTTCTTAAAAACTCTGTAAATATTAGGCATCTTAATACCTCGGATATAACCACTGATCTCTTTACTCTTTAAGGTTTACCTTTACGTTAAAAAACGGTGCGTAAGGAAGGACAGTCAGAAGTTGAACCAGTAGTGGACGTGCTAAAGTATTAATAACTTTAAACCTTCCAATATATGTTAGTTCTCTGTAAGCCCAAGTATGTAACAATGACTTAATACTGTTTCTCGTAGCTGTAAAATTATATACAGTTCTATACACTTTGGCAAACTTTGTTTGTATAACCTGGTATGTTCATTTTATAGCATCAGAATCTTATAGATTATTTCTAATAGACTGAACAGATCTAATTGACTGCAAGTGAACTGTGTGAACAATACTGAATATACACAAGTTCAGAAGTCTGAAAATGAGCTGAACGACTGAACAAGACTTAATAATATATTTTCAGTTGTTTAAGAGCTGTTTAGATCAAGAGTGCCGTTTTGGTTCAACATTGGTTTTGTAGTGTTATGGACAAAACATAAGAAACGATTCCTTGTTAAAAAGTAAAACTTCAATATATCGAAATTAAAATTGTTCCCTCTCAGCGATTATCTAATACTGATCAAAACAAATATATAAGAAACAAGAGCTAATGCAAAATTGGTGGATACATTAAATATTTATAGCATTCAAGGTTACTTATACTTTGCACGTGTTTAAAACTACCTAAAATGCGTAAAACAGCTATTTCAAATGTGTACCTAAAATGATATAAGTCACAATTCAAAAATATCAAGAATGTTCATCTTATTTTAATCTAAATCTAACAAAAGCTCACGCATTTTGACACATCGAATTATGTTTTGTGGAACGATCTCTAACAACTTAATATTTGATATATAATTGAACATTTTTACACAATTTCTTTTTTTTTATGTGTACCATAATTAATTGATAATTTTGATATTTGTGAGTAGGATACAAAAATACTGGTACCTTATCCCTGCGTCGTTAAACATTAGCAGTAATAACAATATCAATAAAGAATGATCTATATTTTTGAAAAAAGAAGAAGAAAAACAAATTAAAAAAATAAAAATCACAGAAATTTGGAGTTTTGGCAACAGCAAAAAAAATGTCTTACTGACAGCATTCATTACAGCTCACAAGGATGTTTTTTTTATTATTCTTTTGGATTATATTTTTACATGTAGCTAAGAGAAACATAAATGCAGTTATAAACATAGACAACACATAAAACATAAAACAAACAAAAAACAACATATAACAATATTAGATTTATAACATATATGGTGATGTGAATGAGGTAAACAAATGAAAATAAGTTAGGCAATACAAAGTACCTAGTATTTTATAATAAAAGGTTATTCTAGTATTGGAAACCAGGGATCCCAGCAGATATTGGTCACGTGAAAAAGGGTTATTTTTAAAAAATATATTCTTTCCTAGAATAAGAGATTCTTTTAGGTATTTTTTGAGTCTTGTAAAGTTAACTTGTTTTTACAAAGTTTTGTTCTATAAATATAGAATTTTGTCAGGAATGTTATTAAGTTTGTTTCTTTTCTTCTTATTATTTCCTGTGTTTCTCAATTTCCAAATAAAATGATATCCATCTTTAGTGGAATTATAATTTGTGTTTGGTGATAAATCCAATCACTGAGTTTAATACATGATAAATCAGATATTTCATAGCAAGTCCAAAATATTTGATCAATATCTTCAATAGCTTCATTGCAGAAAGTACAATTACCTATTTGTTTTATCTTAATTTTGAATAAAAATTCATTTGTGCCTATGATTCTGTGCATTATTCTATATTAGAACCAATGAAGTTTTGAGCTTTTTGTTGTGTAAAAAGACATATTTTGCATTTTTTTCCAAACAAAATTATTATTTAATCTAGGGACCATTTATCTTCACAGATAAGTCTAGTACTATTTGTTTTCTAATAAAACATTATACATATCTTTTGAGCTTTTATTTGATAAATAAATGTTCTATATTATTTGAAAGAATTGGTCAATGAATTTTACAAAGACTGTCTAAAGAGATTTTATTTTTGAGAGATTGTTTATATGATTTTATTGCTGATATTACACCATTGTAACCAAGAAAGTTAGATTTAATTTTATAAATATTTTGTCATTGTTCTCTAAAGACATTAATTTGACAATTTTACCTAAAACAATATAAACAAGAAAAACTACGACCTGATATGTGGCTAGTGGGGTTTAACATGTTTTTGAGCGCTCATCATCACCCTAACCTTGGACAGTAGTGAAACAGCACAAAATAAGAATAAACTGTAAAAAAATATTTGGAAATGGCTTAACTCGTACGATCTAGAATTTTGTTTTGAAACAACTAACTAAAGAAAAAAAAACAAAAAACAAAGAGGGCTCAGATATATTAAAAACTAGTTCAACGCCAATTACAATTAATAAATAAATCATGATCTTTCAGACTAAAGAACACAACGGATTAAGTGTAATGCTTATCTTAAGCAGTCTGCAAAAAAAAAAAAAAAATCTTTTTAGGTTTTTGTCGAATGTGGGATTATATAGATAACTCTAAAAGAAAAAAGGGGGAGGGGGGCAGGGTGTGTTCTTATTATCTCATTCATTTGTGATTGTTAATATGGATATATAATAAACTGATTAATGCAATGATGAAATAATGTCTTACCCATTAAGCTCCCCTGCTGTAGACCTTGCTTCTGGGCTTCCTGGGCAAATTCATATTGGGTGAAGCTATCAAAAAACTTCTCAATCGTTTTATTACCAGTATACTGTAAAAAGCCACCTGTTGGTATCAAAAGTGTTTTTAATAGTATCATTTCAACTATATATAAAAAACCCTTTATTGGTAAAATACATCTTGTTATGAATCTATAAAATACTTGTATGATTCCTACATCAAAGAGCAAAACAATGAAGGTAAATACCTTTATATAGCTGACATTCCTTCACCTGGTCATCTCCAAAAGGTAATTTTAAAGCGCTGGTGTAATGAATTGGTGTAACAATAAAGGTAAATACCTTTATATAGCTGATATACTTTCACCAGGTCATCTCCAAAAAAGTAATTTTAAAACCCTGGAGTAATGATACAAATATCCGTAACATTCATAATAACCTGGTAATATAAATATCTGTCGAAACTCACTTTAAGTAATTATCAGAGAAATATCACTCCTGAGTTCTAAAATATATAATGCCATACATCCAAGTATGTAAACCGGTGTGCTTTTCTGATTTATCAAAGGAGAACTTAAAAAAAGTTACAAATCTTGTCATACTACTGATGATATCAACCGGCAGCGGTAAGTGTACAAAATATGACAGATTTGTTTCAGAAATAACTATTTATACAACATGATATGGAACATTATTAAACACGCATTACTTAATTGTAAAAGGAATAATAAAACATAACATTTAATATTGTTAAAAATATAACTGACGTGTGGCAGAAATAAATGTGTATATGTCATAAAATAGGAATATGTCATAAACAAACCTTTATTTTCAAAGAATCCTGGAGCTCCTATTAGTATGTTTAACAATGAATCTTCATACTATTCAATAGAAATATAAACAATCTTAGTCAGCACAGGCATCCATAAGGGCAAAACTTTAAATCGAATACAAACTAAACTATGGGAAGATGAACATTTTGTTAGCAGACAGGTAAGTTTTCTACAAATAGATAAACATGACACAGAACATCTAACTGTAGCAGAGCAGCTCATACTGAGTATGCAAATCGGTTTTACAATATGGTATATAAATGTTTTGACTTTTTTACCGACGCTTTCAGCAGTCTGTACCTATGCTATTCATTTTCAAAATTATCTATTTAGTTTTAATGCAGACCATGGAATCAAATATTTTTCGTTTTGCGGCCGAATGGTCGAGGGCATTGGACACGATTTTACAGAAAACACTGATGATGTTTTTCCGGAGCACCTGAGATCACCCCCATTTTTTGGTAGGGTTCGTGTTGCTCAGTCTTTTGTTTTCTATGTTGTGTTTTGTGTAATGTTGTTTATCTGTTTGTCTTTTGTCTGTTTTGGTCCATTTCCTTTTGAAATAAGTTTTTCAGCCAAACTTGCAAACCAAATCTTTGTATCTATGGAAAAATTTAGTAAAGTTTTTTACTAATTTGTGGTAACGAAAATCCTGACTTAATAATTTATTTATAAAACATAGATTACGCTCATTGCAATCCAAAAACGTCACTACAGATACGGGCATAGCGAACGAGTTGGGATATATAAACACCGTAAGATAGTGCAACAGGTACATCACCGTCCCAAAAAGGAAAATAACCAATAGGGAAAGAAAAAATCATCCCTTTTGTCGTAAATTTTTGTGTAGAGTTTCTGGTGTAATACTGAAATATCTAAATCTATGAAAGGACAGTTATTGCTGTCAATATTTGATATATTTAAAGTAAGTTCCTTTGGGTAAATTTCAGCAGTATATTTAGAGAATTTTTGATAGTCTGTCTGTTTATGTACAATGTGTTTGTTTAGATGTATGTGTTGAACATATTTAATAATCACGGTTTCAAGAGACAAAATGCATAGGGCTAGCTTTTCCATTCAGAAACAGATCGTTATAATATTTGTCCTTAAATGTAACTATAGTTGAAATTGAGCGCAATGCTAAGGGTAAATTGTTACATAAAGTTATATATGAATAATAAAATGTTTTCTTCATGAAGCTAGATTTTGTTTTAGACACCTAATCATCTTAGAGAAAATTCACTTACTCGAGATAATATCCCATAAATGATCTGTAGTGCAATTGTTTATAAATTAATACGTAAATTCACCTCAACGATAATCAGTTTGATTCTTCATAATAGCCAACCGGAATAACCTTAACGGTGCAAATTGTACTGCTCCAGATGCGCATTTCGACAAGTAATGTATCTTTTGCGATACTCGAGTCCAACATATTTGAAAAAAACGAAACATAATAGCTGATAAAACCTTAAAGGATAAAAAGTAAATCGAAACCCGGAAAAGAATCATAGCGCGAGTGATACACTACTGGATTTAAAATTTTCAAATTTAAGAGGTGATACATCAGGTTTTGCGTTTGGAATAATTCTTAAAGCATTTGTTTTTTACTTTGCATAACTGTTACAAATTTGAAATAGATGTCTCATTTCATATTGTACAACAATGATAAAAACAGTCCTGAATCCCTGTCTTTATTAACTTCGAAAGGTTTCTATTGTTGGTTAGATTGATTACGACATAATTCAAATCGCCTTTAAAACGAAAGGCTTAATTCAGTGAGTAAATGTTTAAAATGGTTTTAAATGAGGATTTTCTAAATGCGACACATCATTCATTCAAGTATACATGTTTTCCTTCTTCATTAAATCGCTTGCGTCATTATGCTATGTCTTAGATAGTTTTATTCCTTCACTCATTCGGTTTATAAAAAAATATGTGAAAATAACCTCAGAGGGTCTCCGCCTTTTTAGTTGTATAAACGATATCTACTCATTGTAGTGTTGAAAATAATAAAAATAATACTTTAGTAATTTCGCGCGTCCGAAGCGCTTTTCTTGTTTTATTTAAACAGGAACGCTCAAACACAAACATTTAAAAGCTATGCATGTATAAATCTGTAGAAATGTTAGCAGCTACATAGGTATAAGAAGATGTGGTATGAGTGCCAATGAGACAACATGACTAACAGGGACCGAAATAGAAAATCCAAATTTGGAGGGAGTTGAAACCTAAGTTTATTAAAGATTTTTTTTAATTTGTTAACAGGGAGTATAACTTTATTGAATAAATTGTTCGAATCTATACTTCTCGCTTGAAATAAAGCTAGAACTTGAAAGTAAAAGGCGATTGTAAAATAAAAGAAATAACTTTGTTTTTTTATGTTGAATGATTTGTTTTAATAAGATAAAAATTTCATACTCTGCAAAACAATTATAAACGATACTAATGGCACACAAATAAACCCCTCGTCAAAAGACAGACAAAGCAAGCTCTAAGGAACAAGACAAAACAAACAATAGCTAACACAATGATACACATAAAAGTAACACAAACCCTATTTAAAACTTGAGGGGATTCCATGTGCTTCAGAAAGCCAAACAGTTTCTGCTTTATTAGACTAGTGTTTCTGGTGACAAGTTCAAATCTTATCATAATTATAGGTCTTTTTAACTTTTAGTGATTCGAGCGTCACTGATGAGTCTTTTATAGACGAAATGCGCGTATGGTGAACAAAATTTCAATCCTGGTATCTATGATGAGTTTGTCAATTATCCGTTACAATTCTTGTTAAGCAAGATTCAGATGTTACAATACTTTAAATATCTTTTTGTCTTATGTCCTTACCTTTTTGTTAGATATTGAAAATCCTATCTGAGCAACTTCGAAATTTAATTGATTTGAATCTTTATCTGTGTATTTGGCATCGAAGAAGCTGTTTTTAAATTGTTTCGTTGTAAAGGATTGCAAATTTCTATCTATGTTAAAGCACCTTCCAATAGGATGGACAAACTTAACGTTTGCCAGAGGAATCATATTCTTCCAGAGAGGAGCACAAGTCTACAACAAATAAACAAAAATTGTAAATCTAATTAGTTTAAGAAGTAACACATTATGATGTTTTTGTATTGTGTATTTAATTGTTATACACTCTTTTTTCTTTTTCATGTTCTGTTATCTGGAAAAAAGAGTGTATAACAATTAAATACACAATACAAAAACATCATAATGTGTGTAAACTTCAATAAACGCACGGAGTTTTCAAGCTTTTATGAATTTTGCATTATTTCATGTCATAAGATTGAAAATAAATTAAAGCCGAAAAGAATTTAAAGATAAAAGGTTTCTTTAAAAAGTTATAATACATATTTTAAATAATCTAATATGGAATATATGTATTTGTTTTGGGATACAAATTATAGATAACTTCCAAGTCTCAATTAAATCAAAGGTTTTTGCTAGCCATTAAACCAGGTTCAACCCACCATTTTTTCTTTAAATGTTCTGTACCAAGTCAGGAATATGGCAGTTGTTATCAAATAGTTCGTTGCTATGTATGTTGGCGTTTGTTTTTGTTGCACTTCGGTGTTCCTGTTGTTCCTTTGTTTTTCTCTTATAGTTGATGTGTTTCCCTCGGTTTTAGTTTGTAACCCGGATTTGTTTTCACTCAATCGATTTATGACTTTTGAACACCGGTATACTACTGTTGCCTTTATTTTTTTCCATCCATTCATATATATATAAATTTATACGTTCAGTCTAGGTGGTCGTGTGGTCTAGAGTACTGGACACAGTACAGGCGGTGTTGTCTCGATATCCCAATAGCATGAGTTCGAATCCCGGAGATGGAAGAACAAATATTTGCTTCCGCAAATTTGCAGATTTAACATTGTTGTGCTGGTATTTGGAGTAATTATGAATATAATATGTGTTTTCAGCCGTGTATCACCTTCACTGGTGATCCAATTAATGGATCTGTCGTAGAGTTGTCACTTGTTTAGACGTATTTATCAAAATTATGATTTCTGTGACTGTATCCTACGACCCTTTACGATAGATATTTAGCTAATCTGCAATCAATTCAACTATGTTGAACGAATCTATCCCATCGAACTAGAGATAAAAGATACTACAGATACAGTTAAGTCTGCCTCATATCTTGACTTACATCTAGAAATTGACAATGAGGGTCGATTGAAAACAAAACTTTACGACAAAAGAGATGATTTCAGCTTCCCAATTGTGAACTTTCCATTTCTATGTAGCATCATTCCAGCAGCGCCTGCATACGGAGTATATATCTCCCAATTGATACGATTATCCCGGGCTAGTGTTTCCTATCATGATTTCCTTGATAGAGGATTGCTGCTCACAAGGAAGCTATTAAGCCAAGAGTTCCAAATGGTGAAGTTGAAATCATCCCTTCGTAAATTTTACGGACGCCATCACGAGTTGGTTGACCGTTATGGAATGACCGTTTCACAGATAATATCGGATATGTTCCTTATGTCGTAACTACAATACCCTTCCCTGTTCACGAATGTGACTTACCGAATTAGACTATTTACCGGATTTGTAATTACATAAGCAACACGACGGGTGCCACATGTGGAGCAGAATCTGCTTACCCTTCTGGAGATCACCCCCAGTTTTTGGTGGGGTTCGTGTTGCTTAGTCTTTAGTTTTCTATGTTGTGTCATCTGTACTATTATTTGTCTGTCTTTTTATTTTTGGCCATGGCGTTGTCAGTCTGTTTTCGATCTATGAGTTTGACTGTCCCTCTGTTATCTTTCGTCCATCTTTTCTCTTCCATCTTCATGCCTAATATATCATGAACTGTGTTACAACTCTAGATTTTACTGACGAGGAAAGGTAACAGTAGGCCAACGAAAGCTGAATTATTAGTGCAGTCTAGGTGGTCGAGTGGTCTAGAGCGTTGGAAACAGTGCAGGCGGTGTTGTCTCGATATCCCAATAGCATGAGTTCGAATCCCGGCGAGGGAAGAACAAATATTTGCTTCCGCAAATTTGCAGATTTAACATTGTTATGCTGATATTTTGAGTAATTATGAATATAATGTCTTTTTAGCCGTGTATCACCTTCACTGGTGATCCAATACATGATCTGTCGTAGAGTTGTCACTTGTTTAGACGTATTTATAAAATATACACAAAAGACCATTATTTAACTCCGAAGCGTCAATATCAAGTGTAAGTGCGTTTTAAACAAATTATTGTTTTATGACGATAGTTTTTTTATACATCATGGGAAAACAACAACATGTCAGGGAAAATTTGAATGCTAGTAAACCATGTATGAACGGACACCTATGTAAATGAAATTTAAAAAAGTAACTTAATAGTAAATAAGCAATATTTAAAAAGCCTCGTTTTCAATATAACTTGCATAGGTTATTTGATGTTCTTACCAATAAGTCTAATATATACATCTCCACTTCAATGGAACTTCATAATATGAATTGTTGCTAAATAATAGGTGAATCGCCTTATAGTGGAACATTCAAAATAAATGAGAAATATTAAAGGGCTGAGAATAATTCCGTTTCGGTCTATCTGTCCAAGATTGACGAGTAAAGAGGTCCAATAGAAAGTAAATGTAATAGTCAACATTAATATAGAACGAAACCTACATAATTGCAAGATATATAAATTAAATTCAAATCTCGTACATCGATAAGAAAAAGACACATCAAGGTAACATACAGAAAATCACATGAACTCCAAAAGGAGAGAGACCGGGTGCATCGTACTTTGTCGTTTATGATTAATTTCTTTATATCTCTTTTCATAGAATTGTTATAGACTGGTTTATCTTCTTAATCGATGAGATTTAAACATCGGTAAATAAATGTGGCCTTTTTTTATAGACTGTATTTATCGTTCCCTATTTGGAGAATGTATCATGTTTTCTCTATTCTCTATAACGCAAATCATTTATTTCTTTTGTTCTAGCCTGTTTCTTTGAATCTTACTAGTCTGAGAGGCGTTAAACTACCATGTTTTTGTGTACATGTATAACTTAACTGTGACATACCGTTATGCTTACAACTTTCAGATCGTCGTCTGTCTATTTCTCAGGAGTAACATGCTCTCTGTCCCCATCGTATGGCATTTTGCGATAGCGTTGTTCTTTTTCTCGACTTATGTGTTTTAAATGTTCCCTTGGTATCTTCCACCTCTTTTTACATATCTCAACTGATACATTACGATAAGTATACAATACATGAAACTACAAAGATCTAAGAGAACACTGGTCTCTCTTGTACGGTCATACATGTTCACTAATTAAAGGCATCAGTAGTATACCGCTGTTCAATAGTCATAATTCGATTAAGCGAAAACAAACCGGGTAACAAGCTAAAACTGAGAGAAAACACATCAACTACTAGTTTTAGAGGAAAACAACAGAACAACAGAAGCACTGAACTAAAACAAAAGCAAACTCTAGCATACATAGAAACGGACTCTCTGATAACAACAGCCATATTCCTGACATGGTACAGGACATTTTAAGAAAAAATGGTGGGTTGAACCTGGTATAGGAACTTTAATTGATGGATGTGCTCTTTACAGAATAAATAATTAGACAGAGCTATGAGAAAAAACAACAAAAATCGACACTTAATCACAAGTAAAATAGAGGGGAAAGATACCCACATTAAAATTCATAAGTCGAAAATAAACTGACAACAACATGGCTAAAAAAAAAGACCAAAAGACAAACAACAGTACATAAAACACAACATAGAAAACTAAAGACTGAACAACACGAGCCCCACCAAAACCCAGGGGTGATCTCAGGTGCTCCGGAACGGTTAGCAGATCCTGATCCACATGTGGCATCCGTCGTGTTGCTCATTTAAGTACAAACCCAGTGATAAGTCTAATCTGGTAGGTCATATTCGGGAAAAAGAGGACGGGGTTGTGTTTACGACAATTGGAACATATCTGTCGTCATCTGTAAAAAATATTTTACAATGCTCAACCAACTCGAGATGGCGTCCGTAAAATTTACGAAGGCATGATTTCAACTAAACCACTTGGAACTCTTGGTTTCACAGCTTCCTGGAGCGCAATACAAGCCCTGGAATATCGTATCAGCTGAGATATATATTCCGTATGCAGGTGCTGCTGGAATGTTGGTACATAGAAGTGGAAATTCACAATTGAGGAGCTAAAAATCATCTCTTTTGTCGTAAAGTTTTATTTTCAACCGACCCTCATTGTCAATTTCTAGATGCAAGTTAAGATATGAAGCAGCCTTAAATGTGTCTGGTGTATCGTTTATCTCAAGTTCGAAGGGATAGATGCGTGAAACATAGTCACGAAACTTTGAAATATTTAGTGAAAGAACTTCTTCTACATAGCGCTAAGTAAAGTTGAAGGATAATGCTTGTATCTTTTCTTTCTTCCTATGAAGCTGCTGTATGAAGTCAGTCTCATATGAATAAAAGAACAAGTCGACAAGAAGAGGAGCACAATTGGTTCCACAGGAAAGTCGATGGTTATTTAAAAAACACGTTCTCCACACGTAATAAATATGTTGACGATCAAGAAATCAAGTAAGTCATGTGTCCGATAATTTCCCATATAATGTATTATAAACAGCTATTTATAAAACAAATCTAGTTCCAAACCTCAAAGGCAAAATTGACCTCAGATAAATTTGGCTATATTTTTTTGTTACCCTTAGAGTTGTCTCATTGGCACTCATACCACATCTTATATCTATATAACTCCTCAATTTTTTAAGTATTTACATATCCTTGGATTTCAAATGTTTGGGTTTGATATTACTGATGAAGATAAATACAGAAAAGCTCTTCGAACAAACAAAATCTATAAAGTGTTATTTCCATTATCAGCAGTAATATGCTTTCTGCCCCACCATGTTGCGTTTAAATATCCAAATTAAAACGTTACGCTCGTGCATGTTCACACTGTTTGGTTTTCATAAGCTGGGATGTGCTTTTTACAAAAAACCTGCTCCAACAGAATTATGAATAAGAACGACTGAAATCGACTATAAACAAAAAAACAGCATCACGAATCGGCTGACCAGTATGATACGTTTGTGTCACTGCGACGGGAGTTTATATCGTCCTTTTTATTTTAATTCCTGTTCAGGCTTATTCCAGATAAGAAGAAGATGTCTAGGGTTTAAAAGTCTGTTTTTATCAATGTCCATAATTATTGCAGTTTTTCTATGTTTGGTAACTGTGGTTTACTTACAATTATGGTGTCATCAAAAATAGACATTGCAGCTCCAAGTAATTCGTTATCTTCCTCGTACCCAGGAAGGCTGGGCCATCTTATTTTATCTGTAAAGTATATAGTTTGTCGGAATGAAATCGATCGGTTTATAACGTTTGATTTTGTCATTTTTTATGAAATTCCTTTTTTGAACTTACCTTGGAGTTCGATATTTTTTTACTGCAGTATTAATTTTTAAAATTTCACTAATGAACCTTAAAACCTAGGGAATATGAGTGTTAATAAGATTAGTTTGTAATATGTTTTGATGAGATGATGTTTATTTTAGCTGATCGATTGAACCTCCTAAATGACTGCCAACGTTTAATTGTAAATTTTTCACAGTAGATGGTAATTATATGATAGTCTCAGTAGAGGGGTGTAATAAGTTAAAAGATATGTTTGAGTCCGAGGAAAGCTGTTAAACAGTGTTGGTTCGCAATAATTTATGAGGATATCACAATGTTGGTCAGCCACTTGTAACAACCAAGAATTATGTGGACAGTTCGGCTCAGGTACTGACATGAGTTATAGCAAACGTTTCTTAAACAAATTCCCCAGTGAAAAATCCAGAAATTATCAAATAACAAAGTTCCACCTCCCTCAGGGAAAATTGACCAAGAGGGATTTGACTATTCTTTTCGGTCCCTTGTGGTCACTTAGCTTCTACTGATCGTATGAATATATCAATGGCTTTCGGATATTTAAGATTGATCGTTCCTGATGATAGTTTATCCAGAAAAACGCTTCGGACGCCAGAAATTCATTAAGTGTTATTTTTACTTACTAGAACCGGGTCAATACCATTGCTGGTGGCCTAATAGTCCACAAGGTTATCACCATCGCATGATGCAGTGCTTCGGTAATAAATTTATTTATAACATTCTTTTCTGAAAATTCCACCGAACTTGAAATTCTTTTTTATGTCTCTTTCGGTCACTCAGCTTCAAACGTTTTTAAATGTGTATACATTTTTGATTTTCAAATATTTAGATTAGTTTTCTGGTGGAGGTAAATCACAACATTATTAAACTTTTATATCATTTGGTATCTTCTCTACTCTTTTCGAATAACTGTACACATACAAAAAAAATAAAGATTCTGGGGATAAAAAGATCGTCTCCATTCCGTTTGATATTTTTATAATGATCTACGTTAAAATAGGAAGAAGACAGTAAAAGGACAACCAACAATCATAATTTGAAGAAAAACCAACAATACCATGTAAAAAATGACAATCGACAGTAAACAAAACCCTTGAAATGTTCAATAATAATTTGTTATGTTTCAAACAATTTTCAATATGTTGCTTTTGTCTCAGGTTCTAAATTTCACTTGACTTGTCTTTTAAAATTTAAAACCGATAAAAGGCAAGTAAATGGAATTGATAACATTTTAATGGTTAGCAATTTTTCATTTGAAAACCTTTTTTAACACGCTTTTATAATATTGTAGCTTAAAATTTGACTTGTCTGAATTTAATGTATCTTTTTTAGGATCAAATTTCGATATAAAAGAAATTCAGAACATATTATGACTACAATGCAATTATACTGGTGAAAATATCTGATTGTTTATAACTTATGATTTACCACTTGTTTCATTTAGAAGATGTCTAACCACTACTTCCTGTTTGCTACTACGTTTTATTAATAATATCACTGGTTATAAATTTCATACAAATTAAATAGAAGAGATGTTTAAAGAAATAATTATTTGTAGGAAGTAATTTAAAATAATACTTGAAGGATATCACCAAATTCGGAAATTAAAATCCACTATGGAAAGGATATAATGACTTAAAATACTTCTATTATAAACCATGGATCAAAAATGAAAAGTAGCGAGAATGCTGTATGACTTTGTTCTGAAAACCATTCATTATGTTACACTCACAATTTTAAAGTTTTCAAGGTTTTTAGAGAATTTGATGTTTGCTTTATCACCATTACTGTTGAAAGGAAAAACACGAAAATCTCGTGTGTGTAGGATTTGATTTGATTGATATTTTACAATAAAACTTATGATTCATAAATATAAAAGCCTTTGGTAAGTGCCATTTAATTAACGTAAAGATTTCTTTAGTTTAAATACAAACTTTGCAACAACAATCCATATATACAATATTTACAATCATTATGTTCTGCATAATAGTTAAATCGAACATATCCAATGAATTTATTTGCACAATAGTCATGATGGTCAAAGGCTTTCAATCTTTACTAAAATTCTTCGTATGGTAGTTTTACATGCCCACTTGGTGATTCTTAAATTATTTAATAAATAAACTTGATTACGGACTCTTAAGGATTAATAATATAAGTAATAAGAAGATTTTCATTATCTATCCAAAAAATTTTAAAAAGAAATTCCCAACAAAACCTTATATTCTAAGTTATAAATTCATCTGTTTGTCCTGGGTGTATGTAAACTTCCATTTACAGGCAGATCCCAGACACATTTTTGTACTTTTATAGGCCTATGATCGTTCTTCATTCGCCCTGTGCCTACCATTTATTCTGAGGTTTTCATTGGTTCATACTAGTCCTAAATGGATTTTTTTTACCTACCATTAGTTCTGGTGTTCATTGGTTCATACTCGTCCTGAATGGATTTTTTTAACTACCATTAGTTCTGATGTTCATTGGTTCACACTCGTCTTGAATGGATTTTTTTACCTACAATTAATTCTTGTATTCATTGGTTTATACTCGTCCTGAATGGATTTTTTTTTAACTACCATTAGTTCTGATGTTCATTGGTTCACATTCGTCCTGAATAGATTTTTTTACCTACCATTAGTTCTGATGTTCGTTGATTCACACTCGTCCTGAATGGATTTTTTTACCTACCATATGTTCTCGTGTTCATTGGTTCACACTCGTCCTGAATGGGTGTTTTTTTTACCTACCATTAGTCCTAGTGTTCATTGGTTAACACTTTTCCTGAATTGGTTTTTTTACCTACCATTAGTTCTGATGTTCATTGGTTCACACTCGTCCTGAATGGATTTTTTTAACTTCCATTATTTCTGACGTTCATTGGTTCACACTCGTCCTGAATGGATTTTTTTTACCTACCATTAGTTCTGATGTTCTTTGGTTCACACTCGTCCTGAATGGATTTTTTTTATCTTCCATAAGTTCTGATGTTCATTCTTTTTCATTCGTCAGGAAAGAGAAAACAAATTTACGATTTGTTCTGATGCTCACGGGTTCACACACACTCACGTCTGTATGAGATTGGCTTACTTACCATTAGTTTTGATGTTCATTCACACTCTTCCTGAATGGGGTTTTTTTTTTACCTACCAGTAGTTTTGATGTTCATTGGTTCACACGTGTCTTGTGTGGATTGAGTGAAGTTCAGTTTACACTTATATATATTGCCTGGTGTCTTTATATTTTGGTCGTTTGTAAAGTTTGCCTTTATAGCTCCTGTTACAACCCTGTAATAATTAAAATAAGAATATTAAAAAATCAATAAGCGAACTATATCTATGTTGATACGAGTACATCAAGGATAGAGAAAGACATGTAAGTCCGGAAATATTCATATACCGTACAATACATTTTTTATTATAAATATAGTTATTAATAAAGTCAACAATAGCATAACCTGTTCAACAGTCATTATTCGATTAAGCGAAAACAAATCCGGGTAACAAACTTAAACCAAGGGAAACAACGGAACAACAGAAACACTGAACTACAACAAAAGCAAACGCAAACATACATAGAAACGGACTGTCTGATAACAACTGCCATATTACTGACTTGGTACAGGACATTTTAAGAAAAAAATGGTGGGTTGAACCTGACTTTATGGCTAGCCAAACCTCCCGCTCATATGACAATGTTAAAATACCGCTAAAATGACAACACTACAATACTTTTAAGGCATTTAAAAGTGGGAGGTATGGTTTTGAAATATTGGTCCCTTTCCTCATTGTTTGCATAGAATCTCTGGAGACGATGTCATGAGGCTTAAAAAAAAATTCCAACACCATCTGTTTAATTCACATGCATAAATGTATAATACAAACTTCCTGTCCTTGATACTTTGCAGTATTTTACTATACACTAGATATGCTTTCGTTCTTCTCGAGGATAAATTTCCTTGATCATAAACAAGTGTTGTAGTGTTGATTATACACCTAATATCAATTTTCTTTCTTTAGTAGTGTATAAGGGACGTTTTGGGAGAATCAGTCGCTTGGTCTTCGAAAGCCCCCTTTCGTAGATAATGCACTTAGGGTCATGCAAAATCTCCAATACCTCCAGTTAGACCTATATATCATATAATGTAAGCTATGACTCAAGTTTCACCACGTACTTTCCAACATACTTCACAATGTACTGATTGTATTTAATCTGATCTATGGGCAAATACCGTCGACACAGGTATAATCCTCTATTATTAGTTGGACAACAATTTTCATGATCCTATAGCAAATGGAGTAAGTTGAGTTTGAGGGCAATGTTTTTTTTAACCCTTTCATGATTATTTTTCCCAGGCATTTATGAAATCTCCGATTCTATTTTCCAAATTTGCATTTATAATACGACTTTTGATTTTTTTTTTTTAATCTAGGGTTCGTATTTTAGAAAATTTTAGTGATTTACTGGTGATCATGAATTTCTTTAACGCACATAATTCTGTCACTAGGACAAAACATTCCGAAACCCATGGCACGATTCACTTGTATAGTGTTAAGTGCCAAGTTTCAATATTCTGCAATCTGTGCCTGATTAATGTTATCATGGACATTTATTACATGCAGGAGAACATATGTACGTGTAAAGAACAGCAACAACAATTATCTCATCACTTTGTTGAGCAAGGTTACAATTTATAAATAGTTTTTTATATAAAATCATTTCACTTGACGATAAAAATGATAATAGCACTTTAAATTTTGAGTGTCCGAAGTTCTCTAAGTTTTCTTTTGTTTCAAACATTTATAACAGCGGACTTGATAAATACTATTTCACTATTAGCAGTCAGCTTGATTCAACTTCGTCAAATAAGTTCAAAAACATCGGTAATGTGTTATTGGCTTGCAAGTCAATAATTCAACTCATTTGAATACGTATTTATCCGACTTTCAATTTAACCCTCAGTTAAGATGGGTTACGAATGTGTAAAGAATGTTTAGCTATTAAAAAGAAAGGCATGTCAACAATGAAAAGTGAATCCATTTCGTAGACTGATGCTGCATGCATAAATAAAATCATTCGTATTGAGGTGAAACGATGATTTACACATTTTTTCATCAATGGCATGAACTCAAACAGACGATTATGCGAGTACACGTGCCTGTGTATTCATATGTATGTGTGTGATTCGTATGATAATCGGCATTCTTCGGAGGAGCGTCTCGATGGTTCATTAGATGTCGTCTAGTCTAAAATACACACGAAATGCTGATCCATTATAACGAGTCCATGCTTTGTAAATTGTTTCTTTTTGGAGTTTTTGTAATTTGAATATACTTTTTTGTATGTTATAAATCAAATATTAAAATCAAAGCAAATGCCCCTTTAAATAATATATGTTTCCCCGTTCTTGATATGTATGCTCTTCTGTATTTTTAAAGTTATGGTGTATTTATTCTTGAGATAACTTCTCTCATGTGTGCCACATCATTCTCTCAATTTTAGGAGAGTTTGTATACTAAAATTTTAATAAGACGCACACCACCTACTCTTGGTCCTCATTCCTATCCACGTTATTTTTTTCACTTCAAAACATTTTATGGAAGTGGGATCAATATACCTGTATTTATACATCAGACCGTACTTCACTGGTTACCGGAATTTTGGATACACCAAACCAGCACTTTATATCTGAGAATATATATATATATACCCTCATTTTTAGAATTCATTCATAATTTTTTTATCATTATTTAAAATTATCAGTAAATCGTGTGTTCTACAAGGATCACCAGTCCTTCACCTTTCATCTCATACCTTAATTACTAAAATATATGCTGCATAGTTTAAGATTTACAACTATGCGTAGGAACTATTTTGTTTTAAATAGGTACTACTTTCCAGTATGTTCTTTTTGGACCGGGCACGATTGGGTGGTGTTACGTCTTACAAAGTCTATCAAAATTATTTTTGCAAAGAATTCCGCTCAAGCCGGTGCTAGTGGCAGTCTTAAACTTGCAGTGAGATGAGAGTTTTTTTAGGTCCGTGTTGAAGACCTCACTGTGATTTTGAGATGAAGAACAGCAATAAAAGCAATATATGGGGTATATGTGAATGAGAAAACAACTGAGTTAAAACTTATATGGGGTATCTGTGAATGAAAAAACAACTGAGGTCAATAACATATGGGGTATATGTGAATGATAAAGTAACTGAGTTAAAACTTATATGGGGTATATGTGAATGAGAAAGTAACTGAGTTAGATAACATATGGGGTATATGTGAATGATAAAGTAACTGAGTAAGATAACATATGGGGTATATGTGAATGAGAAAGCAACTGAGTTAGATAACATATGGGGTATATGTGAATGAGAAAGTAACCGAGTTAGATAACATATGGGGTATATGTGAATGAGAAAGTAACTGAGTTAGATAACATATGGGGTATATGTGAATGAGAAAGTAACTGAGTTAAAACTTATATGGGGTATATGTGAATGAGAAAGTAACCGAGTTATATAACATATGGGGTATATGTGAATGAGAAAGTAACTGAGTTAAATAACATATGGGGTATATGTGAATTGAAAAACAACTGAGTTAAATAACATATGCGGTATATGTGAATGATAAAGTAACTGAGTTAAATAACATATGGGGTATATGTGAATGAGAAAGTAACTGAGTTAAATAACATATGGGGTATATGTGAATGAGAAAGCAACTGCATTAAATAACATATGGGGTATATGTGAATGAAAAAACAACTAAGTTGCTTTCTCGTTATCATCTACCCCATATGTTATTTAACTCAGTTGTTTTTCCATTCACATATACCCCATATAAGTTTTAACTCAGTTACTTTATCATTCATATATGATAACGAGAAAAATCATATGTAAAAGGAAAAGAGACCTTACATATTATTATGAATCACAGCTAATTTTTAATTCTAATTAAAAGAGAGGCAAAACCAAACTGGGATTCACACACATAAGTCAAAGACAAACTGACAACTCCATGGCAACAAAGACCGAACGATAAACAAGTCAACAAAACATAGAAAAGAAAACTGAGCAACACGAACCCATCCAAAAGACGAACCAATCCATATTGAACAACACGAACCCATCCATACTGAGTAACACGAACCCATCCATATTCAGCAACACGAACCCATCCAAAACACGAACCCATCCATACTGAGCAACACGAACCCATCCATACTGAGCAACACGAACCCATCCATACTGAACAACACGAACCCATCCATATTGAACAACACGAACCCATCCATACAGAACAACACGAACCCATCCATATTCAGCAACACGAACCCATCCAAAACACGAACCCATCCATACTGAGCAACACGAACCCATACATACTGAGCAACACGAACCCATCTATACTGAGCAACACGAACCCATCCATACTGAACAACACGAACCCATTCATATTGAGCAACACGAACCCATCCAAAACACGAACTCATACAAAACACGAACCCATCAATACTGAGCAACACGAACCCATCCATACTGAACAACACGAACCCATTCATATTGAGCAACACGAACCCATCCAAAACACGAACCAATCCATACTGAGCAACACGAACCCATCCATACTGAACAACACGAACCCATCCATATTGAGCAACACGAACCCATCCATACTGAGCAACACGAACCCATCAAAAACACGAACCCATCCATACTGAGCAACACGAACCCATCCATACTGAGCAACACGAACCCATCCATACTGATCAACACGAACCCATCCATACTGAGCAACACGAACCCATCCATACTGAACAACACGAACCCATCCATATTGAGCAACACGAACCCATCCAAAACACGAACCCATCCATACTGAGCAACACGAACCCATCCATACTGAGCAACACGAACCCATCAAAAACACGAACCCATCCATACTGAGCAACACGAACCCATCCAAAACACGAAACCATCCAAAACACGAACCCATCCATAACACAAACCCATCCAAAGTGAGCAACACGAACCCATCCATACTGAGCAACACGAACCCATCCAAAACACGAACCCATCAATACTGAGCAACACGAACCCATCCATACTGAACAACACGAACCTATCCATATTGAGCAACACGAACCCATCCAAAACACGAACCCATCCATACTGAGCAATACGAACCCATCCAAAACACGAAACCATCCAAAACACGAACCCATCCATAACACAAACCCATCCAAAGTGAACAACACGAACCCATCCATACTGAGCAACACGCACCCATCCAAAACACGAACCCATCCATACTGAGCAACACGATCCAATCCAAAACACGAACCTATCCATACTGAGCAACACGAACCCATCCATATTGAGCAACTAGAACCCATCCAAAACACGAACCTTTCCAAAACACGAACCCATCCATAACACGAACCCATCCATAGTGAGCAGCACGAACCCATCCATATTGAGCAACACGAACCCATCCACACTGAGCAACACGAACCCATCCAAAACACGAACCCATCCATACTGAGCAACACGAACCCATCCATAACACGAACCCATCCATAGTGAGCAGCACGAACCCATCCATATTGAGCAACACGAACCCATCCACACTGAGCAACACGAACCCATCCATATTGAGCAACACGAACCCATCCAAAACACGAACCCATCCATACTGAGCAACACGAACCCATCCAAAACACGAAACCATCCATACTCAGCAACACGAACCCATTCAAAACACGAACCCATCCATACTGAGCAACACGAACCCATCCATATTGAGCAACACGAACCCATCCATACTGAGCAACACGAACCCATCCATATTGAGCAACACGAACCCATCCATACTGAACAACACGAACCCATCCATATTGAGCAACACGAACCCATCCATATTGAACAACACGAACCCATCCATATTGAGCAACACGAACCCAACCATACTGAGCAATACGAACCCATCCAGACTGAGCAACACGAACCCATCCATACCTAACAACACGAACCCATCCATACTGAGCAACACGAACCCATCCATACTGAGCAACACGAACCCATCCATATTGAGCAACACGAACCCATCCATATTGATAATAAATTCAACAACAAAAAATGCCGTTACTTTGGTGATAGTTTTGTGTAATCTGAATTGAAGATTTCAATGAAAGTAATCAAATATATAATTGTTTGGTATATTATTATATGAGCAATTTAGTTACCACAAACGGGATATCACATCCCAATGTTTACTGTGAGTCCGTAAATTTACATATGAACCATGTAAACTTATTGATCCTTGAAAAAATTCTTCTAAAAATTTATCAATGTAAGTGTAATAAGACATTTTAATATTGTCTTTATCGGTAATAATATTAATGTTGTTATTGAAAAAAAACTTTAACTTAATATGTTTTATTATTGCTATACAGTTATGAACATTTATGGTCCTACATTCTATCGATACTGATAGTTTGGCATTGCACAAGGTCATGTTTTGGGGTGGGTTTTTTTCTCGGACTGCTTGTGACGTATTTACCCTAAATCTGTTGAATGTGCACTGATTCATATTTTAGCCTGGGAAAATATATTTTACCTCTTTTGTCGGTACTATGCGTCTTTCCAAATAAAAATAAGAAGATGTGGCACGATTGCAAATGATACAACTATCCACTACAGTCCAAATGACGTGGTTGTAAGCAAATATAGGATATCGTATAACTTGAACAGGCTGTTCACATAAACTTGACATAATTGTTATGAATAAGGAAATAAACAGTTGAATGTACAAGAACATTGAATAAAGTAGGATTAAGTTTAATCTGGGACATAATATATTGTCAGTTTAATAGTCCCAGGTTTAATAGAGCTTGTAAAATGACATCAACACTATAAATGAATTGATTGTTTTCTTTATTTTGTTTATAGAACACGTGACCGGCTTGTATGATTAGGATCTCTCAAATAACGTCAAGATACCTAGGCATCTGACCTGAGTATCCGACTTACTCTTATCAACACTAAACAATACTTCCGTCTAAAGTATTGACCAAGGTGGTATAATCTTCCTGTAGTTCACTGCAGTGGACAAATAAATACTAATATTCTGAGTGGACAAATCAATATTAATATTCTAAGTGAATGTTACGAGTGGACAAAAAATTGTAACAAAAATACTGAACTCCAAGGCTAATTCAAAAAGGGGAAGTCCATAAAAACTGACAAAATCAAAAGCTATCAATGAACAGAACAAATGAAAAACAACTGCCATATTCCTGACTTGTACAAGCATTTTCAGAAGACAACGGTGGTTAAACCTGGTTTTATAGCTATCAAATCAGTATTGGTATAATTCTATGTTGTGTGCACAAACCAGTTTTATTTTTTCTGAGTGGCCAAATCAGTATGATTGTTCTGAGTTGACAAATCAATATTAATGTTTTGAGTGTACAAATCAGTATTATTGTTGTGAGTGGAAAAATCAGTATTAATACTCTGAGTGGACAAATCAGTAAATATTGTTCTGAGTGGCCAAATCAGTATTATTGTTCTGAGTTGACAAATCAGTATTATTGTTCTGAGTGGACAAATCAGTTCTACTGATCTGAGTGGAAAAATCAGTATTAATGATCAGAGTGGACAAATCAGTATTATTGTTCTGAGTGACCAAATCAGTATTATTGTTTCTTAGTGGACAAATCAGTATTATTGTTCTGAGTGGACAAACCCGTATAAATGTTCTGAGTTGACAAATCAGTATTATTGATCTGAGTGGACAAATCAGTATTATTGTTCTGAGTGGACAAATCAGTACTATTGATCTGAGTGGACAAATCAATATTATTGTTCTGAGTGGACAAACCCGTATTAATGTTCTGAGTTGACAAATCAGAACTATTGATCTGAGTGGACAAATCAGTATTATTGTTCTGAGTGGACAAATCAGTATTATTGTTCTGAGTGGACAAATTAGTATTATGGTTCTGAGTGGACAAATCAGTATCTGGTTCTGAGTGGCCATATCAGTATTGTTGTTCTGAGTGAACAAATCAGTATTAATGTTCTGAGAGGACAAATCAGTGTTTTTGTTCTGAGATGATAAATCAATAATATTGTTCTGAGTGTACAAATCAGTTTTCTTGTTCTGAGTGTACAAATCAGTTTTCTTGTTCTGAGTGGACAAATCAGTATTGTTGTTCTGATAGGAAAAATCAGTATCACAGCTCTGAGTAGATAAATCAGTATTAATATTGTGAGTTGACAAATCAGTCTTGTTTCACTTTTGTGCAGTTTTGTACATTCTCACGTCTGTTTCAATTTCCTCGAGTAAACAATAGTTCGATCGAAGGTTTTATTGCTAGATACACTTAAATGCATTAGTATTTTTTTAACAATTAAAATAGCTTTGCAAATCAAAGTAAAGTCGTTTCTTAATAGCCGTTAAGATTGATTTTGTGATCAATTAAATGTCTATACATTGTATTAAGTCTACAAAGGTTAAGAAAAAACTATTTTTTTAAACAAGCTAGAAATTTGTTTTGAATTTTCCTTGGAGTTCGGTATTTTTGTTAATTTACTTTTTTTTTTACATCAACTCACTTTCTAATCTTATTTACAAATAGTCAATATTAGTCAACTCTAAAACTGTTCTTTAAATGCTCAGTTTAAAGTCTTACTTGTACGTTGCGTTCAGACTCGAAAATATATCTTTCAAAATAAAAAAAACAAATAAGCCTTCTTCACTTTATCTCTGTGTTAGAAACACGATCTACCTAGATAAATGATATGCTGTTTCGTTTTCCCATTTTTCCCTTTTAATTTAATTTTGAAATGTATATGATATAAAGTGTATGTATAACCTCATATTATAGTATTAGACATACTGACCATTTCTGACCGTCCTCATTGCTAAACATTACAGCAGAATATCCAAAATGTGTTCCTTCTGGTCCCAGAATATTAACTATATTGTTTGTATCAATATTGAAGCAGTCTATTCCTCCAATAATCATCATCATAAATGTTACCACGTTCATTGTTATCAAACACAGTTTTTATAATTTTATTGAGGAAATATTTATCACTTATTTACTTTTGTATTAGTCATGTAGGAAATAATAAATTCAACTTTCAACTACGATTGTCTTTAAAAAAGTCCTTTTCATTTATTTTTATCTTTTACATTCTTATACATAATCAGGAAGCAACTTACGTTTTTGAAATTTGAATCGATATGTCATACCTGAGTTCAAACTTGATGTTACGCACATTCGTCAGTAGAATATATATTTGAGGGTTTGGAAAGGGTATAATTTTGTATATTCATTGTATGTATTTATAACTAAAAGCTGATACTTTCAATATATATATATCAGTTTACTTTTGTACAACATTAAACTACAATGTCTCACCGCTCGGAAATTCTTCTATACATTTCAAATAAAACATAATGTAACGAATTGCGTGACCAATAATATTATATATTCACAATTTAATAGGGCGTAGGTTAATTAGTCTGCTGGTCTCTAGTCGAGACTAACATTTCTTACCTACATGATTTATATTTATATAATTTTCTTGATCGTATGGTTCCCCAATTCTTATCTATAGGGTCGTTGTTCTCATTTGTAAAGGCCGTTTTTCATTACAAATTGTATGTTGTGAATTATTCATAGATTGGTTTTGTGTAATATCTTCTTTGTTATTTCTTATCATTGCAGTTGGGGTATATGTGTAGCTATTGTTCAAAAGAAACTTTAAATTAAAGAGGTCATATCTTAGTAGTACAAACTACTTTCTAACATGATTACTATGGATGAGAGACATGCTTACTATTCTTAAGAGAGCTGTTGAAATAAGGATTCTTGATGTAAACGATGTTAAAGTAAAGGTCATTTTCCTCAAAGGTTTTATGGGTGGGATGATAATTTGGTTTTGACTTTACAGCATGTCCCTTCATAGATGACCATAGATACTTTCTATTTGTCGAAAATGTTTGTGTCACGTATGACTGGATAATTTCATTTGTCGTAGGTCTCATTTGCTAAGGAAGCTGTTATAGTTTTTTCCTCGTTTGAGGTAGACGTGTCGTCGCACTAGCTTAGGAAGTCGTTATAGTTTTTCATAATAATAATTATTTTTTTTTTTATTTTTAGAAGGTTACATAGTTAACAAAACATTTATAGCTTGCTGTTCGGTGTGAGCCAAGGCTCTGTGTTGAAGACCGTACTTTGACCTATAATGGTTTACTTTCATAAATTTTGACTTGGATGGAGAGTTGTCTCGTTGGCACTCATACCACATCTTCTTATATATATTTAATCCTCACCGCGGCCATCTACGTCTACATGTAAGAAAACACAATTTCTAAAAGATAAATATACATAGAGAAAAGGGTACTAGAAAGCAAAATCATACTAATATACTGTATACAAGAGCACATAATTATATAGAACAGGTAGACAAATACCATTGACTTAAATAAAAAGTATATTTATGATAAAATTATAACACTATAACTGCGAAAAGTTCTCTTCTTGTATTTTCAAGAAATAAGCTTGCCATTGCATCGTTGGCGGAAAACGTGTCTTCTCGCATCTAAGAGAGTTGCTATAGTTTTTCATCACTTGTTTAAGGCATGCCGTCTCACTTACTAAGGAAGTTGTTATAGTTTTTTTAATAGTTTGTAGAAGGCATGTCGTGTTTTGTACTAAGGAAGTAGTTAATTATTTTTATCGTTTGTGTAAGACGTGTCGTATTACTTGCTAAGGAAGTTGTTATACTTTTTTCATCGTTTGCAGAAGACGTGTCGTCTCACTAGCTAAGGAATTTGTTAACGTTTTTTCATTGTTTGTGGAAGACTCAAGCTAATGAAGTTGTTATATGTTTTTCATCGTTCGCTGAAAGCATGATGTCCGCTTACTAAGGAAGTTGTTTTAGTTTTTCATCGTTTGTGGAAGACGTTTCATCCCACTTACTTAGAAAGTTGTTTTAGTTTTTTCATTGTTTGCATTTTCTTGTTTCTTACTACGGAAGTTGTTTGCGTTTTTTCATTGTGTTTGTGGAAGACATGTCTTGTTTCTTACTATGGAAGTTGTTATGCTTTTTTCATCGTTTGTGGAGACGTTTCGTGTTCCTTGCCAAGGAAGTTGTTATGCTTTTTTCATCGTCTTGTTTCTTACTGAGGAAGTTATTAAAGTTTTTCATTGTGTTCCTTGAAGGCATGTCGTCTCGCTATATAATAATAATTGTTATACGAGTTTGAATATCCCCTTTGAAGACACGTCATCTCATTTACTTATTAATTCTTTATACTTTGTTTTTTTAAATAGATTGTAAAAGACTAGTGAAACCATTTTGATCTCAAACGGTCATTTCGATCTGAACAGCTCTTAAAACTATAAAAGAGAAGAGAAAGATTCCAACGGAATATTCAAACTCATAAGCCGAAACCGAACTGTCAATGCGTGGCCATGGCAGAAAAAGAAAGACTACCAAACAAAAGCTATGAAAATGTAACAGTTTTTTTTTTAATTCCTCGTTTTTGGAAAAAATGTCAAAACATTTTCTTAGAAAGTTGTTACAGTTTTCTCATTCGTTTGTGGAATACATATCATCCTTTGTACCAAGGAATGTGTTACATATTTTCATCCTTGTGGATGACATGCCATAGTTTTTTCATTATCGTTTGTGCAAGACATCATCCCAGTTACGTTTTTTCAACGTTTGTGGAAAACAGATCATCCCACTTACTTTTTAGTTTTATCGTTGTTAGCAGGGATTTTCTCTCGCTTACTGAGGACGTTGTTATAATTTTATCGTTGTTGGAAGGAATTTCATCTCGCTTACTGATGACCTTGTTATAGTTGTATCGTTGTTACAAAGTTTCTTTAAAATTGAGAATGGAAACGGGGAATGTGTCAAAGGGACAGCAACCCGACCAAAGAGCAGAAAACAGACCAAGACCACCAATGGGTCTTCAAAACAGCGAGAAAATCCCGCAGATAATACTAAAATTTACAATAAAAGAGATGATTTTTCATTTCCTATTGTTAATCATCAATTTTAGATTGTGATGTTCACTTGGCATCATCTTGTGGTGTTTATATATCGCAGCTTGTTCAATTCGCTCGTGTATGTAACAACGTATTTGATTTAAACTTTCGTTTCCAACCTCCCAGAAGCTTGCGTATGGTTGCTTGACAGCCATGTCCTTTCCTGAATGCACATTAAAAACTATCACAGATGTTTTCAAGGAATTCTGATAACTTCTCTGCTAGCACTTTTTTCAAAATATTTAGAGGAGATAGAGAGAATCTAAAAGGTCCCTGTTGTTATTATTAAGGAAAGGATCACTCTTCTTAAAAACTAGTGTAACCTGTGCCTCCTTTAATTTATCTGAGAAAGAACATATTTCAATAGATGAATTAATCAAGTATTTTCTAGGTTTAACAATTGCTAGTTTACAACATCATATTAGTTTCACAGATATTTTGTCTTCACATGTAGCCTTTTTTACATCTAATTTATCTATCGTTTTGGCTACTTTTTCCTCACTGGTTGATTGAAAATTAAAGAGGATATTCTCAAAAGATTTTTCTTCTATTTCTAGTAAATTTGTATGAATGTTTTGTCAAAAATATAATCTTCTTCTTCTTCTTTTGTTTTGAAAAATAATGCTAAATGATTTTGCCAAAAGTCTTTTTGCTTGCATCTACCAGTGTTCTCTGACTTGCGTTTCAGTTTATTAATCATTATATTAATTATTAATCAAGTTTCTTCTAACTCGAAATTGATCCCAAGTAAAAGAATTTTTGTTTTTCAAAAGTTCAGAATAAAGCATTTTCTTCTCGTATCTAGCTTTTCTCAGTTCCCTGTTCATATATGGAACTTAATTTGTTTCCTTTATTCGATCCCAGGCCATGCTAATATAGCCTGGAACGAGATAGCGGACCAGTTGGCAAAATATGCTGCAAAGGAGGCCTCATCACTAAATCAATTTAAAGTCATAACAATGTCAGATGTAAGAAGTGCAGTCAAGATGTCTACAAAATTGAAATGGAAAAGTAGATGGACAATTAGTGAAACTGGGAGACAACTTTTCGATCTAGTACCTATTGTTGGGAGGGATGTTGAAATTGACACACCAAACCCCCAAATAAGAAGAATATTGTCAGAACTGAGAACAGGTTACAGTAGATTAAATAAATACAGAAACCAAATAGGTCAATCCCTCACGCCATGGTGTGAATGCGGCGAAAGAGAAACAACAGAACACTTCTTACTATACTGCCCAAGACACAAACAGGAAAGAGAAGACACGCTAAGACAAATGGAAATACTGAACATCCCCACAGACATACGATCAATATTGTTACCAACAAAGAAAGGAACTTACGAAGCAACTGCTCAAATTGTAGGGGAATATAAAGCTAGATCATGGCGATTATAAGAACTGGCAAGCCCTGAACCCCGATCCAGCGCCTAAACAAATATTCTAAAGTACCGCGAAAAATTACCATGAACTACGTACCATAAGAGGAAAAAAAGTACTAAGTAGTACAGACAGACAAATTATGTCAATTTTGACCTTAGGATAAGATCAGGCTGATTACTCAGTTGTTACGTGATGTGGTTATAAAACCATGTTTAATCCACTATTTTCTACATAAGGAAATGCCTGTACCAAGTCAGGAATTCGACAGTTGTTTTCCATTCGTTAGATGTGTTTGAGCTTTTGATTTTGACATTTTATAAAGGACTTTCCGTTTTGAGTTTCCCTTGGGGTTCGGTATTTTTGTTATTTTACTTATTACTTCATTACGTGATGTAGTTACTTCATTATGTGATGTGGTTACTTCATTACGTGATGTGGTAACTTCATTATGTGATGTGATTACTTCATTACGTGATGTGGTTACTTCATTACGTGATGTGGTAACTTCATTATGTGATGTTGTTACTTCATTACGTGATGTGGTAACTTCATTATGTGATGCGGTTACTTCATTATGTGATGTGGATACTTCATTACTTGATGTGGTTGTTTCATTAACTGATGTGATAATTTCGTTACATGATGTGAAAATAAAAACATGGTACATGATGCGAAAGCTTTAATACATGATGTGAATATTGCAGTACGAATCAAATCAAATAAAATCAATTTTATTGGTGTAAATTACAGGAATGATACCAGCCG